TTTTTTTGAACCCTGTTTTCAAGTGTTCAATGCGTAGATTAGTTCGACTACTATCACAAGTTTGTTTCGTCTCAAGATGACTAAGTAGCTTAGCATTGTAAGCAACTTTATTTTAGAAAAAAGGTTTGCAAATAACTTATTTTGTGATCGTGAATTCGAAATATTTCAGTTATTTCACTCGATCAAGGAGAAAGCAATGTTTCGGAATCAGCTCAGCAGTGAAACTACGCTTCAAAAACGGGTTAGCCACAGTCAGTTTTTATAGAGATTTATTATAAATTTATATGTAACTTATTTATATGAAAATTATAATTTGAGAAAAAAAGACAAAAAAACTATGAGGTTTTTGAAAAAGATACGAGTTTTTTTCACCAGTTTCATGAATTCCAAGAGTCAAAAACTTCAAGCACAAAATATTTTTTTTAAAAGGTTTTTTTACATCAACTGAGAGAGAATAAAAATGTACAAGAAAATGAAGCGCGAACTTAAAACTGGAAATAAAAAATGAAAACTCTAGTTTCTCTTTTTCCTCCCTTTTTAATGCTTTAGTGAAAATATATATTTTCACTAAAGCATTAAAAAGAGAGGCTTTCAAAAATCACTGAAAATTTGCGACACGTGTCATGAACATGCCATTGTCTTTTTTTCCGGTCGATGGTTCACAACTTTAACGAGTGTCGGAATGAATAAATAACAAAAAAATACAAAAAAAGAGGCTCGACACTTTTTTTGAAGCTAAATATTTCCAAATTGAAGTTTTTTTCAAATTTTTTTAACAAAAAAATTTTGAAGAGAAAAAAATTATAAACCTTACAAGGATTTCCAGAGAGTAAGTATTACCAGAAGGGTGTGAAATATATTTCTGAGCCTTGAATCTAGTCGTGATTTTTGATAAGTCGATACATTATATTTATTAACTTCACGGTTTTTTCCTTTCTACATTAGAACTTTTCGGTTCTTTATCATAGGAGATCGGAAATCAATATTTCATATTTTCTGTTTTTAAAAAAAGCAAGCTAATAGTTCTAAAAAAATAAAGTTTCTGAGAGATATAGGTATTTTTGAATACACTGCGCCGAAGTAACCTACGTCCTCTAACAGTTGTCCAAAACAGTACTTTTGAAAGACATCTCTTTTGCCCTATTTAGAGCTAGACGGCTAAAAAAGATTCTTTAGTGATCGTCAGGCTCAAGGATGTGTTGGGAATGTTCTGCATGAGTAAATGGATGAGTAATTCTGCTCCAAACGATTTGCTCAAAGTATTACCTTCCCCCAACCATGGGAAAAAGATGACAGCTGCAAACTCAAGCGGGGAACCGAATATTTCATGAAATGCCACTCCAGTACATCTTCTTCGTTTTTATATTGTTGTTCTGGAGCTGTTATTCACATATTTGGCGATGGGAAAAATATCCCGTAAAAATACAATTTCGCCTTCAACACATCAAACAAATACAAAAAAGACTAACCGACGATGAAGAACATGGATCTTTGTTTCCGGAGCTCCGGTTCCATTGTCTCAGGAATACAGTAGGAAGATTAGATGATTTTTTATCTTCGCGGTGGGCCACTTTGTTTTCCTTTTTTTTTCGAAGCGGAATGGCCGTTTTTTCAAGTCGCCGCACTAAAAGAAAGGTCGTAATGTGTTGAAAAAGCGACGACTGGTGCCAGAACAGCCGTTCTTCTGACCTGCCTCCAACCGATTTTCCCTCTCTTTTATCACTGGCTCAATCAGTTGAGCTCGACGTCAGGCAGGGGTTTTCATTTGATGGGCAGCTAACTATAGGAAACGTATCTCTTGAGTTTTAAAAATTTGGGTGTCTGAGAAGCGAGGACTTTCAGATTCTTTATGCTTTGGAATCAGTGGATTTTATTGCTACCTGAAACCAATTTTGAAAGTTCAAATCTTCAGAAGTTTTCCACAAACTTCACGCATTCTATTTTCAGGGAATTAAAATATGAGTTGAATTTTATAACTGTGGGACAAATAACAGAATATTGCTCAATTTTACGATCCAGAGAAGTCTCGAAGTTTGGAAACTAGGTTTAATTATAAAAAACGATAAACGTGTTAAATTACGTATTAGGGTTAAAATTTGAATTTACGATTCAACTCTCTCGATTCCCCCAAGAATGTGATTCTCATTTCATTTGATTTTTTTTTTGATTCAAAATACAAACGAAAATATCAGAACTGCGACGATTAAACGGTATTAGGTTTCCTTTAGAAAAAACTGCCAATTGTTCATTTGAGTTTAATATTGAAAATATATCACAAATATTTTCTATTATAGTGACCCTTTGAGCCTCTCCTCCTAACGCTCAAAAAATGCAATAAATCAAGTCGAATGTTGCGATTCAATGACACGCTCTGTTGTAACTTGCGAGAAAACTCACAAGAAACGAGAAAATGAACAGATCAGGAAGTGGGGGTAGAGTTACAAGCTGCTTCCTACTCAAAATAACTGACAGCCACAAAAACAAGTCCGGAAATCAAGTAGAGAGCATTTGAGGAGTCGTGACTCAGATCAACTTCCAAAAATAGAAGAAAATCGGGCGAAGTCGGGGAAACAGGGAAATCGTTGGAGGAAACCGGCGGGATCAGCCGACGTCTTCCCGCAAATCCTCAATCTTTTGTTAATTGTTGCGCAATCGACCAATTTTTTCACGGCGTTTGCGTTTAATGTTCAACTTTGCAATGAGGTTCTCGTTCAGTTTAGTGAGAAGGAGAAGAAAAAATGGGAACAGAATAACGTCTTGAAGTACCTATTAAGTTGGAAAATCGGTAATTTTTGATCAATTCGAACTATGAATTTGATTGATTGATTGTCGCTGTATATTTTCCGCTCTCTTTAAATAGTATAGCTTGTTTTACTATTTTCTAAGTTTCTATATTCCCATATTTTTTGGGTATCGCAGCTGAGAGTAGAACGCAAAGACTAGTCAGATTGTTTCGTATTAGGAAAATTGGGGTATGAATTCAATTTGAAAAATATATACAAGTATGTGTATATAATTTTTACCGAAACAGTTTTAATTGAAAGAAACGCACAACCAAGATTCAGAAAAAAAAAATTAGAGAGTGTCATTTGCAAGAGGATACTAGTCTTTCTCGAAATGCCAATTTTCCCCTTCAGTCAGCTTTGTTTTACTTGATGGAAAAACTGATGAATTAAATTTTATCCAGACAAAACTGTAACCCAAGTTCGAAATGGATAAATGGGTGAAACATTTTATTTTCTCGTATTTAGATTGGCTGGTTGGGTTTAACAGTAGAGAAAACTTGAACAAAGGTGGATTTTTTCGAACTAGAAAGACGTCACTGATACAAAGCCTAAATAAGAATTTCAAATATTTTAAGAAAAAAAAAGGAAAAAAATCCAAAACAAAAAAACTGAAAACCACAAATGAAAACCAGAAATCGGGAGAATGGATTGAGGGATGCAAGCCAAAAACTCAATAACAACGACCAATAGAAAGCTGGGGGAAAAAGGAAACTTTGTCCCAAAACAAAACATTTCGGCTCGTTCCTCGTTGTACAGGTGCTTAATGGAACCGGCTGTCGGGAACGACGTCGTCTCAAACAATACGCTTATTTAACTTTACTGAAACAATCTGTTCCGAACTTTTTTTAATTTTGATGGTTTTTTTAGAGAAAAACTTGTTCATAAATTGTTGAAGGACTAATGATAAATATTCTCATATTTAAAAAAATCTCACCGTTTCCAAAAAAATATTTCTCAGCCGTTTCAAAGTTTTTATTTTTTTCTCACCGTTCAATTAATATCAACATGAGACCTGAAAAAAATTCTTTATTTTTCGATTTTTTTCTATCTTATTTTCGTCATACTCGGTTTGATTTTTGTTTTTGCAAAAAGTTATATATATGTTTTTTTAATTCCTCGTCGCATCGTGGTATTCGAAATTTTTTTGAAAAAAATCTGATTTTTTTATCAATGAGCTTTATATTTTTTTCAATTTGGAAGGTTAGAAGCAAATATTATATCATTATTTAAATCAAGAGTAGTAAAAAGTTTTCGGCAGAGAACGGTACGGAAAGAAGAAACTAATCAGAAAAATCATTTTTGTTACCAGAAACTTTTTGTAGTTTGGCATACGATATTTTATCCTGTAAATCAAGACGTTTTTTGACCGATTTTGAAGCTCAAGCCTCGAGTCGATGTGACTTGATGGTAAATGAACGAACAGATGTCTACGGAAGAGAGGAACCTTTCAGAAGTTAGAAAGTTCTCACAATTACGCTTATCGGCACCTATAAGAAGGTTGCCCCCATCATTCTTGTCACACCTGTCAACATTTTCGCCGAACTCTGCTCACCTGTTCATTACCTCAATGGGAAAGAGAGCCGCCGAAAGGCGTTGCCGCTGGCCCGAGCACTTGAAAGAGAGCGCCAAAGTTGGCACCTTTTGATGGGCGGCCCAAGCGTCCAAGCCACCGCCTATTTATACCTGGCTTCAGAGAGCTTCTTCATCTCTCACGATGCTCAGTCCTTCTCGCTCTTCCACCGCTTCCAGCGACGTCTCCTACATCTACGTTCCCAATGTCGATGGATACGTCGCCGTTCAAAAGGTTGTTCTAAGCTTAAAAATATCACAATATCTAAAAAAATCTTCAAAAAAACTCTAGTTATTTTTAAATAATAATAACAAGAAGCTCTAAATATATTAACGAAAAATTTTTGAATTTTTTTATATTCACCGTTTTTCTAAAGAACTTGTTGGCTAAACCTTCAGTGTTTTAAACTAACGAATTCCCAAAAAATCAGCTACAAAGGGGAGGACTTTAAAGAATAAAGAATAATTCGACAATTCTCTTTTTGGACTTCTTAAAAGTCCTAATATATCAATGCGGTTACGAGGCTTAAATAAATGCTGAAAGTTTGAGAGTTTCCTGTTCAATTAATTTTTCAGTCGCTTTCGACCTCTTCAACGGAAGGAAATCTCCGGAAGAAGATTCGGATCGAATGGGTTCCCCATTCAACGGTAAGCTTGTCGATCAACCTTCCCTTCAACTTTCCCTGACTGAGTTCAAATCTGAACTTTCAGCCGGCCGCCTTGACCTATCTGGGCGTCTTCATCGCTAGTCTGTTGTACACGGCCGCCTGCTTCATCCGCAACTACGGCGTCCATCGGAAAGTTCCCCTTCATCTTCAGGACTGGCTTGGTGTGTTCAATATTCCATTAAAAAAGGGAATGAAAATAATTAAGTCTTGATTTTTGACTAAAAAATATTCATCATATTGCTATTAAGCCAGCCCGATGTACTACTTTTTGCAGCTATATCGAAATTCAATTGATTTGCATCTTTTCTAAACGATGAAATCATTCAGAAAAAGCATTTTTATAGAAAAAAAGTATTTTTTATTTTTTTGAATCAAAAATCAAATTATGAATCTCGAAAGTTTAGACGTTAGCTGTTTATCTCGAGTTCTGGTCGTCCAATGGCTGGCGGTCCTTCTCGTTTTCTTCTCGGGAATCGTCATGTACCGTCGGATTCTCATGCCCATGTACATTTTCCTGGCGGTTCGTTGATTTTTCTTCCTCTCACTTTTCAATTAGTTTCTTCCTTTCCAACTGAAAACTTGGATAAAATGCTCGGTTTTCAGCTCATTGCAACCAACGGAACTCTGGTTCTGTTCATGATCGAATGGCGCAAAGTATACGATGGCGTCACCGTTATTTGTGAGTTTTTTTCGCACCTTTTTTCAAATTTTCCTTCGCAAAAGTCTTGAAAAGTTAGTATAGAAAGGACTTTTGCAGCCAATCCGACTTTCGTGACCCTCGCCGTTCTTCTCGCCTTCGCCGTCCTTCACAACATCGTCTACCTTCACAAACTCGCTTCTCTGGCTTCTCAGAAAAGGTTTTCCCCCAATATATTTTTGCATTTCACAGTATTCTTTCCAGAAAACGGGCAATGCGACGACACATAACCAAGCCTCAATTCGTGACGATTCAGAAGATTTGACACAATTTATGTACATTTTTTTATATTCTATGTTTTGTAAACTTTAATCCCGAGTGCAATAAAATATCATTTAAAAAAAACTTCAATTCGCACTGAAAAGATGCTTTTTTTAAAGCAATTCCTTAATTTAAAAACTAGAGAGTTGAGAAACAGTTGGATTAGAAATCGGGGGGTTTTTTAATTATCAGGATATTTTGCAAACGATTATTCGCGTTTTGAAAAAGGATGGTGTAGTAGAACTTCATTGTTTTTTGATTTTCTTCACTTGATCTTCATTTTCAAATCTACCTTGCTTCATCCTTTCTTTTCTCTCAATGCAAGCTAAGGTTTTCGAAGTTTTGCTCGGCTGATTCCAATCCCATATATTCTTAAAAAACTCCTTCATGTGAATTTAAACGGAAGCCGTCAAAATCATCAAGAATTTTGTTTACGCTCTCAAGTGACATCAACACCAACCAAGAAGATAAAAAACCGATCATATCGCTGTAGTTTAAAAGAAGAATCGACCGTTTGTCTTGTTCAGCGCCTCTTCAAGCAACATGCCGAAAAGGAAAGCAAAAGCTGAGACGGCCGTTTTTTTCTGTCGTCATGACCCAGCCGATTGTTACGTCCCATCAGAACTTCCTCAACGGCAATTTCGAGGAAATTGTGAGAAGACCAAGGAAGTGGCCACTTAATTCGATGAGGTAGCTTTCGAATGATGATTAGAAAGATTTTTTTTGTTAATTTATGGGAAAAAACTGCTATTTTCACTTTCAAAGAGAATGGACTTGGCCAGAAAAGATGCCTGGAAAAAGTTGAACAATATATCGAGGGAAAAATTTCTTCCTTTAAATGTGCTTTAACGTTTCAGAAATCATACGCATACCCGAAACGGTTTTAAAAAAACACTTTTCCTGATTCTAAAGCTGAGAAATTTTACTTTCACTCACCTCAATCCATCTTCAGTAGTTTCTCACCTCCCTGGGTTGCCATTATCCCTCAGATTCGCTCTAAAACGGGCCAATTATGCAACTTCATTGGCACATGAGACGGTTTCTTTTCAAGGCGGAGTTTGGTCTGAGAAGCGGAAGCCTTTTCGAGGCAGCTTCCGCGGCAAAAGATACATCGGAGGGTTGATAACCGCGTTTTCGTTACGCAAAACCCTTCGCCTCACTTTCACCCAACGTCGAGTGTTGTCGTCGGTGATGCCGAGCCTCCAGGTCTTGCTTCTCGGTTTTCTCGTCGCCGCGACTCATGCCTGCTTCTGCCCGTTTGTTATTTTTCTCTTTATTTCGCTAGAATCAAAAAAAGTACCTGACCATGATTCTGGCCCGGGGATGCCACGCCACTCCACAAGTTTTAATGAACTTCGTTTTTATTTCGAATTTTAAGTTCTTCCTTTTATGGAATCAGATCGAATTCTTCGAAGAAAAAATAATTATTCATTTGTGAACAAATTTATCTATTATATTTTTTTCCAGACTTTCTTGTTCTTTTCAAAACTTTTTAGAATTTCTAATTATAAATGCTTCAGAAATTTTTAATTTAAAAAAATCAAAATTTGCTTTTTTTTTTCTGCGCGTCATTTCGCACGCAGTGGTGTATACATTGTGTCATTCTGCTACGAAATGAGTTTTTAATCATTACAATAGAATTTTCATCAAAGTTTCTAATTTTTCTTGTTTTATCTGATTATCTGAGACTGTGGTTACTTCTTATGTTTGTGTCACTAATGAAGTAGCTTTCTGAAAAAAAGCATCCACGATTAAAAAAATTGAAAAAAATTTTTTTATATTGACTTCTGGATTTTTTCTTTTGCAAAGTAGCTTTGAAAAGTAGCTTTTGAAAAGAATGAATTTCTCGAATGATAACTAAAGTTTTTCCTTTTTTGTAAACAAAAAAATCATATTGTTCGAAGTTCTTTGTTGGGATTTGAATGATACTGCTTTCTCGCCGAATGCTTAAAAAAAAATACTTGGGCAGTGGTGCAGTTTCTTTGAACTAACCGTTTTTCTGGTGTAGTTTTTTGCATGTGTTTTCTTTTCAATTATATACATACTACATTTCTGTCTATCAGGTCTTGCGGCTGCGGTAGCGGTGGATTCGGAGGTTACGGAGGCGCCAGTTTCCAGCCTCAAACTGTTATTTGGCGCGATTTGACGCCTTTCCGCCAGCCCAACTACTACGGCCAACAGCAGCCGATGTACCCACCTCAACAGTATGCAGTGCCGTTCCCGCAGCAACAACCATTCCAACCGCAACAGCCTTATCAGCAGCAGTTCCCACAAGGTTTTTTCTAAATGTTTTGAAAAAAGGAAAGAGCAGTTAAGGAAAGAACCTTCAGACAAAGAACCGAAGTTCAAATTTGATTTTTATGAATGTCAAGAGAGACTTAATTTGCTGTCAGAGAGAACAATATATAGTCTGTTCAGATTTTGAATGTCAACCAGCTAACTCCGCCCTTGCTGAGACGGAACCTTTTTGCGTTGATGTTTTATCGCGCGGGACTAATTTTGATTTAAAAGATAGAAAAATAAGTCGAAAATGCAGCCTTATCAAAGGGCCATCGTCATATGTAGATAAAAAATTTACGAGAAAGATATTGTAGCTTTGGGGTTAGCTGCTTGACATTCAAAAATCTGAACAGACTATATTATTATTCCAACTCAAATTGTTCGCTTTAAACTCGAAATTTTTTGTTTGATTCAAAAAAAATTCCTATTTTTTAGCAAAACTACAAAATGCAACAGTTCATTTAAAGACTGCAGTCAGTCAACAAAAAGGAGCTGATATTAGATATAAAAAGGCAGAACTTCGAAAAAAAGTATTTTTTGATGAATTCGTTTTTTTACTCTCCAGAGCTTCTACTGAGACGCTTTTTTTGAAAATGAAACAGCTTTCAAAAAAATATTTTTTGCCAATGAAATTTTGTCCTCATTCTTTTTTTCTCTATTCTTTTTAAAAATATAGTTCAAAAATTTTTATTTTTGGGATTAAAGGAAAAAAACCGGGTTTATTTTCACAATTGAAGGTCGTAGGCAATAAAGTTCATGGTTATATAAGCGATGAATCGATTGAACTCTACTTTAAACTCTTCTTTTTTTTCTGAAAAAAAAACGTTTTGAACAAAAAAGTGAATCGGAAGGTTTCAGAACTCTAAAGCAGCCTACAAGTTTTGAAGATTTGACACAGTTTTCATATTTTTTGGGCTTTACTTATTAATTTTCTTTTTTTTTCTCAAAAAAAAAAATTGAGTTGCTCCACGACCATACGTCCAGCCTCAACCTCAGCCATCCTACATCAGCCAAAGTGTTTCTCGGCCCCAACAGCCTCAACAGCCGCAATGGCAGCCCCCACAGCAGGCAATTCAGCCCCGAGGCCGAACTTACGCCACAGAAGCTCCTTTGTACGGTGAGTTGAAGACATAAGGTCCCATAATCCCGGAAAGTTTCCAGAACAGCCAGCTGCGCCAGTCTTTGAGTCGAACAGTGCGTTTTCCACGTTTCACAGAGAAAACACGATAAAAACACGAAAAATTCATTTTTGCGAGTAGTTTGCTGAACAAGGCCTTGGGTCTTTTACAGCTACGAGAGATTTTGAAAAAATTAAATTTCGAAATTTTTGCTTTCGATTTTGTACAAAGTCAGAGCGAGAAACCTTTGAAAAAAAACGAAATTGGTCATTAAAGGCTTCAGTCTCTAACAGACCTTCCCCAAAATAATAGTTTTGAAGCGAAAAAGGTGAAAGCGGTTTTTGTGCAGTAGTTTCGTCATTTCTTCCTTTTGTCTCGATCTTCATTTTGCAGAAGCAACGCCAGAAAAGGAAAAAGTGACCTATGGAGAAGAAAGCGCCCCTGAAGCTACAGTGACCACGACCACGACGGAACAGCCTGTGGAGCTTGATTTCGATGAGACTGCGCCTCAAGAAGACAAAAAAGGTTGGGATGAAATTGGGAAGTTAGTCCCCTACTTGTGATAAGTTTTTGTATCAAAATCAAAACTTACAATCTATTTTTTTTCAATTTCCACAGATGACAAAACCGAGTATTACTACGTGTACTACGACAGCAACGGGAAGAAAATCGGCAAAGTCCAAACGACAACTCTCGGACCCAATGGAAAGCCTCCAAACACTTTGGCGCCCCACAATGTCAGTTCTGACGGTATCAGAGAACTATCCCGGAACTTAAGAGCAAAAATCACGCACGAAACTGAAAAAAAAGCGGCAAGAAACATTTTTAATCAAGTTAGAGTGGGCAAGGGTTTAAGGTCTAAATAGGAAAGGATAATATCTTGAAGAACTTTTAGAACTCACAACGTCTTCAGAGACCTTAGAAGGCTATTGTTAAACACTTCTTATGGAATGAAGTGAAATTAATTAAGAAGTTTTTCAAAAAATGCTTTGCAAAGTTGGTAACATGAAAAAAAGACCAGCGAAAATTCGAACGGCGACTTTTCCGATTTTTTTTTCTCGATAAACACGTCGTTTTGAATCATCTTGTACAAAGTAGGTAGTTGATTCACGATTAAACGCAAAGAAATAGGAAAAAAAAAATGTTAATAGGTATTTTATATACCGAAAAATATAAGGGAAAAAAGTCGGAAAGGCACTCGTCGGAAACTTCTCCGTCGTAAATTTCCTTAAAAGTTGCCTTTTGGAAATTCGCTGCTTTTTTTTATACCACCGCAAAATTGAAGATTTTGAACTAACCTTGAAGTCACTCTCAACTTTTTCAAACTCCACATGCACAGGGTGACGTGACGACACGAAAGTACATCTCAAGGTCCACCACAACCACCACAACCACTTCTGCACCTGAATCTGAACCCGAAGCTGTGACTTACCTGGAGAGCGTCACGGTGATTCTTTTACACACCACCTCGAACCGTTCCGATTCTCCCTCTCAAGTGTTTTTTCCTCGGAGAGATCCTTCAGAAGATGTGTAACACATTTCCAGCAAACCGCCGATGAAGTGACTGAGGAAGAAGGAGGTCCCGCCGAAACCTACGACGATCTCATTGAGGAGCAGGTCGCACTTGTGTGCATTGAAATAACTTTGATCCCAAAATTCTCAAAATTTTCAGCGAAAAAGCCGAATTTTTAGCGCAAATTTTATTTATGTATTTAGAAGTTCTCACGACTTTAGTGTCAAAATCGGAACTTCTTGTGTCCAACTTTTCAGCGAGAAGTATGGAGGCGTTGAAAATTGGTATCGAAAAGAACGGCCTCCATTGGACGGATTTCTGAAAAAAAATGTTTTTCGAAACCCTGAAAAACATGGTTTTTATTGAATTTCAAGCAGATTCAGATTCATTTTTTGAAACATGCAAAAAGTGAGGAAAAAAACTGATTAAAAAATTCAAAAAAGACAAAATACTTAAAATTTTCTGTGAGAAGCTTTGTTCAAAGAGGTACTTTCATTTGTATAAACCGGATGAGGTTCAGGAGAATCCGACCACGAAACCCGCAGCCCTCAACCCACCAGCTCCCAAACCAGAAGCTCCAAAACCGGCTGTGGTCGTGACACAGGCTCCTCCTAGCAGCTACGAAGAAGAGAAGACTGACTATGCTGACGAGACGCAAGTCGAGCCTGAAGACACCAAAGAGAACTCTGTGACCCCAGCGACAAACGAGAATGTTGTACTGACATTGATTGAGAGAGACGAAAAGAATGTTACAGGATTATAAGGAGAAGCGCTCCAACTTGGGCAATCAGATCCTCGTCGACGCCTCCGACAGCACCGGAGAGGTGGCACCTTACAAACGAATGGTCGGTGGAGTGAAGCAGACGCCGGCGAAGCGGGTCAGGAAGGTCCAACGTCGTCGAGCTCTTCACAGCAACTGAGCATGAATCATCTCTGTAATCTGTTCTCAAGCAGGAGATTTTGAAGGTTTCAGGGCAGTTTTCTTTCGCTTTCTCACTTTCTTGAAGCTGAAAAATTCTTTCAATTTGAATACAATCTATGGTTACTCATGAAATTTAATTCTGTCTCTTTTCTTTCAATTTTTCTCTGCAAGTCTTCCATCAATAGAATATAGATCACTTTCTTGTTTGTATATATTCTTGTTCTCAAGGGCTGATTATTCCCACCATCTTCTACAATTTTCCCATCATCTAGTCTTGTTTTAGATTCATATTTTTATCTCTTCCCCTTTTGGTCAATGACTTTTCGACCACTCGTTTAATATGTACATTATAATAATCCCACAATTAAACTCCATTCATCACGAAGTGAAACAAAGATCCCCGCACGTGAAATGGTTCACAGGTAGTTGCTACAAAGCGATTGTTTCAATACTCTCCCCCGACCTTAAATGGCTTTCGCGAATCGCTACCCGTTTAAAAGTAGCACAAGCTCTTACAACAATGCTGGCTGATACCACTCGGCGCAAATCGTTTTGGGTCGGAAGCAATGCAGCAAAAAGTGCCTCGTAAGCCGTACATTGCATTAAATTGTTTCCCGTGCTATCCAGGTTTTCTTATTTTTCAATTCGTCAAGATTGGAGTTTTTTATGACAATAATCATACCTCTTTCTCAATTCAAAGTTCAGAAGTTGTAATAAACTTACAGTTCCAATTATGTGTTTGACATGTCCTGAAAAGCACTCTGTTTTCGATAATTGTCTTGTGACCTTCAGCTGTTTGATAAGACAGCGAAACGTAGTCTTTGATTGAAACGGGTTCAAACATGTAGGATCACCAGCCCAACAACAAAAACGCGTTCTTTCCCCACAAAGCGTACTTCCTAATCTTCATTGTATTGTCCCTGTTCTTCCTAATTTACCAAGTTTGTTCAAGTTCGGCTTTAATGATCGAGACAGCTGAAAAAACCGGGTTTTTGGAGAGTAACTGGCAAAAATTTCATCGCTTCTTTTTCGTGGAAAAGGTGAGTCTTATCGTAACTCCGAGCATTGTTTTGAGCCGACTGTGACACTTTATTTTTCATACGGGCTCAGTTTATGACGAATTTCAGTTTGAAAAAGAGTTTCTTATCACAATTTCACAATTCTTAGAGTTGAACTTCAGGTCTTCAAGAAAGAAGTCAGTCTAAACTGTTTTTTTTATAATCGAACTTCTTGTTAACTTTTAACCTGATCCAAGTTGGATCATCCGTGTCTTCTCCTCTTTGTTGACATTTTTTCGCGAGGAAAACATAACCGTCTGTTTCTCCGCCATTTTCGACCTCCTTTTGCCCCCAAACTGTTTTTTTTATTCTCACCGCGCCCCGACATGTTTATTGCATTGCAAATCGCTTTCCGAGAACGTGCTTTATGGATTTTTCTAAAAATTTGGGACGGTTTAGATTTCTTGCTTTTTTGAAGCATTTCAAATCGATTCTGTTTTCCAATTTTGGAACCATGCATAGCTTTTTCACTTTTTGTTGGATTCTGATTTTCTCCAATTTTTAAAGGTAGGATGGATTTTTGTAAATAGGCAGAGTCTCTCTATTAACAAATCGCTTTGAGACTGAAACCTTATAATTTTCGAATCTTCGTGTTTCTCTTGTTTTTTTTTCCACATTTCTACCGTTAAGTTCCACGAAGTTCCCACTTTCAGGAGCATGATTATGTTCAACGCGCTGCGATTTCTGATACTTCTCAACATTTTCCTCTTCGTTCATTCTGACATAATTGTGTCTCATGGTAAGTCTTTTCTCATTTTTCCCATTTTACAAGCTTACAACTCCTAGCTCTGAGAAAAAAACAAAACGAGGTTGACGTGGTCAGGAAGGACCCGGAAGGAAAACACTTGCATTGCAAATATTTGCCCTTCGAACGGTTTTCCAAAATAAATTCTTCTCATTTCAACTGAACACTTATCAAAAAAATCCTTTTTGACTTTTTCAATCAAATTAATCAAAATGTTTTTATTTCTCACACACAAGTCCTAAATTTCACGAAATAGATGTAGGGAGAGTTTGGGAACATGTGTCGGAACTTGTGGTGATGGAGGGAAGAGGACTCGCGGTCGTGTTAACCCCCCACTTGAGTAAATTGGAATAACCATGAAGTTATTCTTTTAAATGTCGATTATGTAGCTTTCATATTTTTGTTGGATCAAGAGTGTTTAGTTCTGTAATGTTGTTTTCAAACCATTTCTCAAGTTTAGATCTAAACTTATTTTTTTCATACTCAAATACTATGTTTCTATCCATGGGATTCCAATGATTGTAAACTCTTTGATTGATGAACCGGTAGTGTATGTCAGAAAGTAGAGGCCGCTCTATTTTGAGACCATTTCCTCGCAGTTGATTCGATCTACTTGTTGTATTTTGTAAAGGAGATGGGCACCAATAGTATCCGTAAATGAAATTGTGAGCAGCAGTTATGTCTTTTTTTAAACTTCTTTGCCAAAGGGTGTTTAGTCCAAGACGTTGAAGTCTTTCTATGTAATTCATTTTAGGGAAAAGTCGTTTAGTAAACTTCCTTTGAACTGATTCCAGTCTATCGATATCTGTTCTTGTTAGAGGACAGAAAAGTTCTGACCCATATTCAAGAACAGGTAAAATCTTCAACTTGTAGCAGTTCATGAAGTTAGTGTGCGAGAAGGTAAAACATCTAAAAAGATTATTCACGATTTTCATGCATTTTTTCACGATTACATTCACGTGACCACTCATTTTCAAATTAGAACTAAAATGCACGCCCAGATCTCTGATGAATACATCTGTTGGAATTTTTGAGCCATTTATTGTGTAAGAAGGGCTCTCCGAATTGGATTTACCATATCTGACATGTATACTCTTTGAACTCGATAGGAGTTTCATGACCTTTTCTGGTTAAAATTTCAAAATTCCCTCTTGGAACCTTGGTCACCGAAGTATGACGTTCGTCACGCAACCTCGTCTTTTGAGCAATTCGTCAAATATTCTCTTTAAGTTTCCCAGTTTGATGAGATGAAAAAGAAATCACGCAATGGGTTGAAAGTTTGAATTTTTCATTATTTTACAAAACTGATGCTTCAAAAATCAGTAAAAAACGTTCTTGTGGGAGACGGTATACATGATGATTGCTTCAAAAATCGTAACTTATGAAAAAAATCATGTTTTTCACTAGACAAAGCGTTTGAAGATAGATTTCACTTTTAAAAAATCCAAAAAAAAGTTTCTTCGAAATTGCCTTTTCTGTAATCTTACACTTCAACGGACAATCTGCGGCAAAAGTCGAGACATTGTAGTTCATTCACCAAGTTCAGAAGAGCTGAGCCTTCCCCACGGCGCCGCCTGTCCCCAGTCGTTCCTCCGACCTTCGCTTCTTCTCTACCTCACTCCCGTCGTCTTCATCGTTCTTCTACTCAACAAGAATATCATCGGAGACGTTCGTCTTATTTATGGACAATGATTCCTTCTGAACCAACTCCCCAAATCGATCTCAAACCGGGTTTTTAGTAGACTTCACGGCTAGACTTGCTTTTGCTCAAAGTTGTACATTTCTCTAATAAATTTCTTGAAATTGTAAAACTTGAAGTTATACAACAAACAGAAAAGAATTTATAGCGAACGGACAAGAAAAGGGCGAAAGGAACACGAAAAGGAGCTTTTGGGGAATCAAAGCGGTCGGAAACGACGTTGCTGACCCTCGACACCGGAAGGACGGCCAAAGAACTCCGACAGATAGTTGAGATAAAGATCTCTGTAAATTCCCGAATCATAAAACTGTAAAATAAGAATTAGAAACAAAGACAAAAACGGACTGAGGGTTTCCAGCCTTCGGTGCGTCGTGGAATCTCGACATTGCCATTCGGTCTCTGTAAGTTTTTCCAATAATTTTGATTTCTCCTTTTTGCGAAGAATAGTTTTGAACAAAGAAGTCTGGAAATTGCGTGCCTATGAAAATTCCAACTTCTGCATTTAAATTTAAATCAAGCCATGAAGGGAAATTACTGGAGTTCGAGCCGATCGTATGCCAAGCAGACGGCAACCCAGCAGCACAGCAGCGCCAGCACCAGCTTTTCCATCTGAAACTTCTATTTTGACTGAGAATGCTTGAAATAAGAAATCTAAAAGAATGATTTAATGTGTAAGAAACCTTCTGGCGAAGCTTGATGAAAACAAAATGACATGAAAATGGCAATTATCCGAAAACGCCTCCCTTGAGCTATAATTTTCGGTTGTTTGATACCTTTCCAAAGGGGTTATTTGTGGAAATTATTATAGTACATCCGCGGATGTCACGTTTCTCTCAAAATTAGCGGTTAAGAACTCCAAATGCTAGAACTTTTTGCAAAAATTACAATTTTTTGCGTCAAAGTTCAAATGAAGAGGAGTTTTTCGGGAGATAGAAAGCCTACTGTATCTATGAGGTACGGTCTCGCGAAGGTACAAAATGCGCAATAATCTACGAAACGTGCTTGAAAATTTCTTATTTTGATTTTGCTTTATAGCGTAGTTTATTATATTCTTTATTCGAATAATCAGTTATATTCTTCTTTCATTGCTCAATTAAAGTTGATGAAATAGAAAATCCGGTCTCGGGACTTCGAATTGAACGGAAAAGTTAGAGAGCCCGAGATACCTGATCAAATCATATTTTTGATTTTAATTAAAAGATTTTTATAATTATAAGGTTCCCATAAAGTGAACGAAAAATAAAGATGGAGCGGCCGTGAGAAGGACAAAGATTCTAGAAACTTGATCTTCAAGCTATTTTTGATGATAAACTTGAGCATCAAATGTTGAAATCAGAGCTTCAGAAGCTCTTCGATCAGTAGGAACTCTCGAAATATATACTTCAAGCAAAAAATTTCGAACGAATGTGTAGTGAAAACTTGATTTGAAAACATTTATTCGAAATGCGACTAAAGATATTGAATTTTTTGCGAATCATTTATAGAATTTTTGAAATGATTATTTATGCCATCTGAGTCTATGTCAAATGGGTGGTTGACGATGAATTAAACTTTTTGAAACCTCCAAGGTCTTTAAAAAACTCAAAAAAAAACCGAAACTCTAGTTTGGCGTAACGTGCAAATAGAGGAAAGGGAAGAGCAAAAGTGAAAGTAAAAAATGTCGAAAATTCGCGAGAACCCTGAGAGTTCGGATGAACACAACTCGAAGGTTTTACCGTGCATAAGCTGAAATCTAAGGAGCACGAGTCCTTCGCCATACGTCACAAGCTCATTTTCCGTTCTCAACAACCTCAGAGAGCCTTTTTTGGAGCTCTGAGAGCAAGCCGAAGAGAACAAAAAGCCCCATGTCATGATTTTGCAGAACAAAAGTGACTCCAGTGCAATATTTAGACGAACATCCGCCTGTGAAAAGGGTATGCTGTCCATTATTAACCATGGGGCGTCTTTGTTCGATCCATCACGACAAATTACAGCCTTTTTTGCACTGAGATTCATGTTTCTTATTTTTGAGAATTGTTGATCTTCTGGTTGTGGCAGAGATTTGACATTTCTTTGCAAAGCCCGAGATCGAATGACCAATTCTGATGAGCTTTGTTTGAAGCTTTGTTTGAAAAAAGGGATTTTTGAATATGAGAAATTAAAGGCATAGGGGCAGTAAAAAACGGTGTTTTAGTTCAAAGCAGTACTTTGTAGAGCTTTTCATTGCGAATCGAACGGTGAACTTGGAAACGTACAGAAGTTCCTAGTTTTGAAGAAAAAATAATTCAAAGTCGGAGAGAGGAAAGTTTGAGTTCCCGCGAAAAGGGCGCTTTGCAGTAAATTTGCTCTATGGACAACAGGCTTCGCCATCTTCCGGATTTTCGCTTTTTTCTTCGTTTCTTTCAAATTTCAATTTTTTCTGTTGTCACCAAAGTTCTTTTCGTCACAAAAGCTTTCTATTCATGAATAATTTGCAAACTTTGATCGCAAAAACGCTTCTTTGGTGAAAAATGATGATTTCACACAGGTTTCGATTGGGATAGCGATCATTTGTGTTTTCTTTATTATCAATGTGTGTTTTCTGTTTTCTTAATCGATTTTTCAGAGAAGAAACCCATAATTTGAAGCAGATATCCGGTTATTTCACACAAAAGGCGAGTCTAATGAGACGTCCGCAACATCGCGTGCACGACTGTGTATAGTGTGTATTTAGACAACGATTCTTAACACTTAGAAAAACATTATAGCCTATAATTTATAGCCGGGATAAGAGTCATTAGACATTCACCAAAAAGTGTATTTCTCTCTCAATTCATTATGAAACACTCGATTATTTTATTTCTGTGAATAAAGATAGAAATGAATTGCGTGAACGGTAAGAAAATTGTCTAGCCATGAAGAATGAGTAAGTCGATGAAAAAAATGTCCAGATCAGAGCTCGATTTACTCGCTTCTTTATGGTCCGTTCTTTTCTATAACTTTTGTATTTCTCATTTTTTTTTTATTTCCTAAAACTTTCTAGGCTCCTTCTATTGATGGCGTGAAGTCATATTGGTGTTTTCGGGAGCCATTGAAACCTCATAAATCAGCTATTAGTAGCTGTTTTGAACTTAAGCCTATTAGTTTTTTTTCTCATGGAACCAGTCACTTTCGTGTATCTTAATGATCTTTCTCATGATTTCCCTGGTTTCATAATTTTGATACAGAAAGAAATAGAATTTCTTGTTGAAAAAAGTTCACAAAAATCGGAAAAAAAGGATTTTTCATCCAATTTTATTTTCGCACGAAATTTGCTACAGCTGCATAGAAGTCATATTTGCATCTTTGGGGACAAAATTGTACGAAATCAGGGCAAACGACGAAGCCAAAAATAACCGCCACAGAGATTGCTCACCGGCTGCTCAAACGAGCCGCTCGTGAGCAATATTTGGAGGCGTGGCTTCTGCTGCAACCTTTTCCGATTCAGGAAAATTCCCTGGTTCTTGAGAATATTCTAAACTTTTTTTGCAATGCAGAAGTGCAAAGAATTTCTCAGCACGATAAGAACTGAATTTTCGAAAGGAAACGTGGAAACATCAAAAAAGGACGTTGGATTATAATTTCGCTAAAATTGAAAAAAGCCAGGTACCTTTTTCATCGCAGATGAGCATTACTAGCCGGAATTAATAAAAAAAAATTTCTACTTCAAAAACCATTCTAATGATATTTACGCTCATAAAAAACTTCTGCGTCTCGAGGTTTTTTTTTTGAAAAGAAGTTGAACTTTTCAGAGCAGCCTTTTTATTTTTTGTAGCAAGCTGGAACTCTTTAACATTATACTTTTCGAACGAAAAACAAAAAAAATCTCGATTCTGGAAAAGATTAAGCTCATAGATAAAACGATATACAGGACTTTCTTCGAATTCAGCTCGAAATGGACACCTTGTAAACTCGAAGCCAGTGAAATAAGCTTCGAAAGAAGGCGTGCATGTTTTGAAAAATAATGACGATACTTCAATTAATTAGTTCGGCGACGAAGAGTCATCAAATTGTCTGCTTGTTTTGGTCTGCTCAATGTCCAAGTGCTCATCATTGAAGTCGTAACATACGAAAAAAAAACATTAATTGGAAATTGACCTATTTTTGATTTGGCTAGACAATAAAAAAAATGTTTGTTGTGTTATTTTCGATCCGGACCTTTTTTGAATGAAAAAGTACAGCTGGTTTTGCTCCAAACGCGAACTTCTGGGGTTTTTTTTTTACTGTTTCCATTACTTATCTCAAAAAAATTAGTTCTGAGAAGTGCTTGAATTTTCATTTTTTTTAAAGACATTCTCTCTTTGAAAAAAACTTGAGAAGAAAAGAAAACTTAAGTCAAGAAAAAAACGCTTTGAAAAACTTATACTAGACTTCTACTACTTGTTTTTTTAAGTGGAAATGTCTTCAAAAATAAAAAGATTCAAAAAAATTTTTTTCACTACTAACTTTTTGAGATAAACTTATTTTCAAAAAGTTAAAAAAAAATTTTTTCAAAACGAGCATAACCAGTAAGAAAGTTTCTTGCTGAAAAAAATAATGAGAGAAAAGAGCTTTAACTTTATTCAATAGTCAAGCTGTTCATTTTTAGTGGCAACCGTATATATCTTCGATTTGTTTGGAATCGGCAACACTTTTCCGTTTGTACAGATGCGGATGACCCCCAGGCGGAGGGCGGAGCCTCGTGGAACGCTCAAAAGGACCGTCGACCGATTGTAAACGATTCCTGATGAAGCTCCTTTTATTTTCCTCTTTTTGTCTTTTGCACTACCTTGGTGAGTGAAAATTAATCATTATTCTGATTAAAACTTTGGTCTTGATAAACAGTGTATGAAAAGAATGAACGTGGACCAAAATTCTTAAAAATGTTTTCTCTTCTTGAAAAAGCAATGTTCAGTAGACGCTCGGTCATGCACGCATTCTCTGCAGTGCGGCAGGGGATTTCACTGTAACGACGGGATCTGTCGCCGAGATTCCTGCACCAGCGACAGTCACTGTCACGAGGTCGGATAGATCGTTTGACGGGGCTAAATGAAAAAGTTTGAGACTGAGAAATGCAAATCGGGTAAAGTCAATGGAAGACAGAAGCTCGCCTGCTTCCTGGACAGTGCTCCGAGAGCAAAAAGTGGAGGAGCCGTTACAGGTTTTTTTTTTTCGTTATTTTCGAACTTTTTCATTTGGAAGTTCTTTTTCAAAAACAGAGCTTTAAAAGCATTTTTTTAATCACTCACTGTGTAGTCTTTGCAAAAGTTTCAAAAGAGCAAAGACCTTTCAAAGGTCAAAACAACATTGAATTACTTCAGTAATCTCAATTAATTAAAATATCCCCCTTTAAACAAAAAAACACGGTTTTCAAAACACCTTTTTCAAAATATTGTAGACTGGATGATCCTTTCTTGAATTGACGATCTCGACAACTTTTGAAAACTTGTTTAGCTTACCCAGCTACATTGTCCCTCCCCGTATTTCCATTAAATGTTCAGTTTTGCTTTATTCACCACTTTTGAATGAAAAAGAAAATTGAAAATGAAAAAAGGAGAATAAAACTTGAAGAACACTACTGTCCTGGCGGAGGAGCTGTGGTCTTGACGACGACGGGGAATTTGGCCAGCTGCGACCTGACTCAGGAATGTTCTTCCACTCACGTTTGCAATCCAGAGTTTGGCATCTGCTGTACAAGTCTGAAAATTCCGAAAAACCAAGATCAATTCAACTTGATTCAGAAGTACGGTCCTGCCCTGGCGGCGCGAAAACGATGTTGAACTTCATTACTTCCAAGCCGATTATGTGTCAGGTGAGAAATGTTCGTGTGGGTTCTCAACTCACACTGAGGCTTCTGAATGAGAATAGGACTACTATAAGCGGTTTCCCTGCTGCTTTCTAGCTTTGGAGCGGAATTAGTGATGGTTTTGAAAAAAAGTAAAGTTTGAAAGTTTGATTTTATAAAGCTCATTTACAAAACTCACATTTCTAATCTATTGAACTACTTTTTGAGTCACAATATAACTTTTTAAAGATGAAAAAAGGTGTCTTTTTAACTTTTCTCTAAACTTTTCTCTGGTTGTGATTTTTGAACTAAATGCAAGAAGAATTATATAAAACCTAAAAAAAAATTTCAAGTGATCTTCGTCTGCTACTCCTATGGCTAGCGAAGACTAGAAAAGGGCATTTTTTTCAATAAGAAGTGAAAATTAAATATTTTTCAGTTCAAAAAAGGTCGAGTGATGCCGTGTCCAAAGGGTGGTTACTGTGAGACGGAAACTGGCTTCTGCTGCTCTAGAGGAGATGATTTGGAAGTTCCAGCCCCAGGTATCGCACATAATCAAACTGACTCGAAATGGACCAAGAAACAGTCGGAGCCCCTGAACCGGTAGCGACCCGAGAAAGACCTTGGCGAGGACAAGTCTGCTCTCCGAGGGACGGCTGTTCCGGGGGAGCCGCCTGCATTTGCGGCAGTCGTGGGACGTGCATCTGCGAATGCGCCACCGAGTTCGGCTACACTGCCGCCGCCGACGGCAAGACTTGCCAGAGAGTGCGACGACGTCTGAAGGAGAAGTGCAAGACGGACATGGAGTGTTCTTCTGCCTTTTCTGAGTGCTCCTCCGGAGGCTGTCGCTGCAAAAGAGGCTTCCAGAGAGACGGCGATGGCGGTTGCAAGCCTGTAGGTGGGACCTCGTCAATTATCATCCCATTTAACACCTTCATCCAGTCATCGTAGAAGATTCTCTGTGTTTTTGCAATTTACAACGATTTGGTTGACTATAAGTTGAGAACCGGCTTTACTGAAAGAACGCTCTTCAAGTAGAAATTATATTAATTCTGATATTTTTACTAAATTTTTTGTATTTTTTAATCAAAACGAGCTTTCTACGGTTCAAACTGAATTCTCAGTGTCTTTAAAATCATCCTTCAAAATGACATTAACAGTTGATGAAAAAAACCAAAAACAAAAAACTTTGCTGCCACAAGGTTTTTTCACTAGCTATATATTAAAAACAACTTTGGTATGCATCTGCGCATATTGCGCCATCATACTTTCAAAGCTCCTGCTTCTTCAGAGTACCGCTGTGTCAACCGAGGAACGCCTTTGAAAAAAAATGAAAAACTCGTGACGTGTTCTCTTCGCGCTTCTGTCGCTTTAGGGACTTTCAGAAGCTTGAAAAGTCTCTCCAATGAGACTTCTTTGACTGAGGATCTTATTGGTAAATGTTCAACTCACATTTCATATAGCCATATTTCGAAAATAGGCAACTCTACATTTGCTGACTTTGGCAACGGACGGGACGATTGTCCCGATGAACATTACTGCGTTCCCGTTTTCGACGACGCCACCAAGCCTGGATACTATCAAGTTGGGTACATGTGAATTGACCGAGAAAACGAGGAAATTCCAGGGATTCTGCTGTCCTTCGCCCAGCGAAACCAAGCCAGTTTGTCCGGTAGGAGAAGCTCACGATTCGAGTTTCCCGCCTGATTTCGGCTGTCGAAACTGTCCCAGCGACTACTTTTGTCACAGAGATTCCGTCGCCACTGATAAATCTGTAAGATTATAGAAGTGGAATCTCCCGTTCATTTTGAATCAAGATTTGTTGCCCCAAGCCTTGTGTCTCCCTGGAAGACATCTACGACGACGGCCAATGCTATCCCATGGCTTTTTATGGAGACAGTTGTACGGTAAGACGGGATAAGATCGAGCCTCTCGACGATAACAAACATTTGAAGTTATCTGCTCAATGCGTCTACTCGAAAAGTCCAGCGAAGGCTGAGGAGTACGCGGAATTGGCCAGAATGGAGTGCAGATCGGCCATTTGCTCCTGTCCGGCTGGCTTCAGCTACGCCGACGGTCAATGCAAAAGTCCGTTTTTCTTCATTTCTTACAGAAATCTCTTACTTCAAACTATTTCAGAGGCCAAAAGCGCTTAAACACAAAATATGGATTTTCAGATCTGCTCTACTGATCCCACGGATTAGTGGGACACAAATTAGAGAACCAAAATTTCTTGGAAGAAGTCTCTGAAATATTTTCTTTTTTCTTGGAAATAAGGTCTTGTGAACACGTAAGAATCTGAATCTACATATATTTGAGACTGAAAGTCAATTTTTTCTTCCCAGGAATCATGTGCTCAGTCGGTCTTCGAGGCGAGCCTTCCGTCGACCAATCGGGCCTTTTGATTCGCTGCGGCCGTTCTTCCGACTGCAGCTTGGGCCACATGTGCGATCCCAACAATCATGTCTGCTGCAAGGGAACTAACCGTTAGTTCTGATCCCTGTTTCAGTCCATACTCTCAACGGTTCAGGCTGTCCCAAAGACTACGTTGAGACCGGCGAACTGTGTACCGACGACAACTGCCGCGGCGTCAGCCAAATCTGCCACCTCACCAAAAACGGAAAGGCCAAGATTTGCTGCACGCTCGACGACACTTACACTTGAATTCCGACCTCAAATTTATTATTTTTCTGTATATTAGCAACTCTTAAGATGTTTTCTACCAGGATAAAATTTTTTTTTGTTTACGAAAGAACCTTGATAAGAGAAGTCAAAATTCACGGCGCTCAAACGGTTTTGAAAGCAGAAGTCTTCATATTCTTCACGTTCCATCAGGGGTAGAAGATTTTCCTACCGAGAGAACAAAAAAACTCAAAATTACAACTTCAAATAAACTTTTAAGTCTCAATTTTGTTTGCTCACGGTCTCAGAGTCTTTTTTTGAGTTTGAAATTTTTTCGAGTTTTTATTTCAATTTTTACTCCTCTGAAATGTTCAAAAACCTCACATGATTCTTTGAGCTTTCGAAATAATTCCTTTCTTTGAATATTTTTCGGCCTTTCACGCTTTTTTTATTGTTTCGCAAATTTTGTATTTATAATTTATTCACCTCTTCTCAGAAAAAAATGGGGAATAACGGAAAAAAACATACCTTTTTGTTGCTAGATTGTGTGTGACATACGTTTCACACTGAATATTCAAAAAAGAAACTTCGATTCACTTCCGTTCAGATCGCCTAGTCATGAGATTTCAAAAACTTGAAATTCGCACGTTTTCCATGACAAAGAGCTCCTCACCGATTATATAAAAGTTGGTCGAAATACCCGCTCTTTCTCACTTTCTTCTAAGAAAACTTAGCTTTACCGCCAACAATCAACTGAAACCGATTGTTGATTCAACAAATCGCGACCCCTACAAACAAAAAAAGCTTATCAATTATTGTGCTATCAGCTGGCTCATCCCCTATCTTTCGTCTCGTCGCATTCCACACAAAAGTTTCAAACATTTTTCTTTCCAAGCTTTTCACGCCCTTCTTTACGTTTTGAAAATCTTTTTTCTTGGTTCACCTCTGGCTTTCCGAAAAAGTGTGAAAGTTACAGTTACACCCTTTCATCAAAGGTTTGATGCAAATCAATGGTGATTCTGTAGATCTCCTGCATAGATAAAATGGGAAAGTTCCATAAAGCATCCTCGGAAGGAGCTGAGAAGGTTTCGCTTAAGGCTCTTAAATAATGGAAAACAGCTTTCGAGCTTCTTTTTCATAACCTCCGAGGATCCTTTTTGAATCCCGTGAGTCGGGGGGCCGATGCAAATAGCTACCTGAAATTCGTGATTGCTACCGGATAGTCTGGAATTGCTTCCCGTGTGGCTATTTTTTGTTTCAGCGTCCGCCAATAAGATCCTGGAAGACTTGGAGAGGTTTTAAAAAAACACTGGTGCTAAATAAACAAACAATGTGCCAGCAATCGCGATTCTCAGGTACCTACCCGGTAGCATCCAGATACCGATCAGGTACCATAGAGATAGTACCCGGTCGCATACAAATGACCACCGATTACGATACGCCGATTGGCTGAGTTGCTACCCGATACCTACTTGTATCGACATCCCGACTCACCAGTTTATATATTCTTTTTAGTTGCTTTCCGGCATTTTTTCAATAAAAGTATCTGTTGATTAGAAGCTTTTTGAAAGAGCCTTTCCGTTTTGCCCGAATTAAAGATCGAAAGTTCATAAAAGGAATTTTGAGGATGAGCCGAAAGTCTTCTAGCAGCGATAGTCAGAGCAGTCCACCCAACATCGTCGCTCAGTACGATACTGTTGAGGTGGGGCCCAATTTTCGAAATGAAACACTGAAGGAATGTATTTCCGCATTTTTTAGTTCACAAAATCTTCAGTTTTTGATCGAGTCAAAGTTCGAAATTATTTATCGGCTCATTAGGCTCAAGCCAGTATTTTTCCGACACGTGCACGATCTTTCCATAAGTTGACAAAGACTGTACAAATTTTCAGAGAACAGCTTCCAAAATGCGATTATGAATAGAAATCTTAACTAAAAATTATTTTTCAGGAAGTAGAAATCCTCGAACCTCCAGTTGTCGCACCCAGGGTATTCGATTCTTATATTTCTCAAATTATATTCTTGATCCGCTGAGATTCGATTGCGAAAAAGTTGAATTTTGGTTTTTTTTTTTTCAGGAAATCGAAGTTCTAGCTCACGCCGAGGAAGTCCCACAAACTGTAGGTTTTTTCTATTTTTTGTTCGATCGTTGCTTTGAAATTATTATGAAAATGAATTTCATTATTGATTCAAAAGTTTGAGGACATCGAAGCGCCTCCAAGAATACGACATTCTATCCAGAAGACGGTCGGTTAATTTTTTTCATTCTTTGTTCGTTTTTCAATGAGACAGTTTTATGAGCCGGTTTTCAATAAAGCACCTGTAGAAAAGCACTTTCATTTTTGAGTACCACATAAATTGAAATTTGAAAGAGACGTTGTGATAGGTTATCAATGGAGCATCTTTGTTAGGAGGTTTCGTCGCTGCCTCTGCCGCAGCATCCGGCCGTGACGGCCTACGCGGTCGAGCCGGCCACGCCCGTCGTCGGCGCCGGAGTGACGTCAGGGGCGAGTAGCGGGAGCGGTGGTGGAAAGAAGGGACGGGGAAACTCAGCTGATCGCAGGTTCCAGGAGCGCATCATTCTTGAATAGATCCTTCAATCACTGATTATCTTTTTTGAACGGGAGTTGTTATATTTCTCTGAAAAGAGCCCCTGCAATGTACTACAAGAAAGCTTCGAAATCTCTTTTTTTTGAAAGCGAGACATTTGCCAATTTTAGACTTTTTATTGACAATTTATTGAAATTTTTATGTGAAAGTTAACCTTGAAAGTTCCAGCTTCCTGTAAATTTTTTTTTAATAGGGTTTCTGTTTGAGGAAGAAATCTAGAAAACAAATTTTAATAATCATGACACAAGAAAAAAAAAATCGTATTTTCAAAAGTTGAGTTCAGAGATGGGCCCGCCGACGAATCAATGGTTTTCGACCTCAATGGAGAGCCGATCAAGCCAGTGATGGCTCACAAAATGAACATGCAAGATCGCGATTTGAATCATTCTGCTCAATTCTTGAACGTATTTTTCTCTCTCTTTTCCCGAAGATGAGAGTTTCAAACATTCAGAACAATTTCTTCGAAATTTTCGCCGAACCCGGGGAACAATATCACAGTATCGCTTGTGTTTGGACCGTCAGCTACAGGGTTTGCAACAAAAATACACCTTTCCGAAAAATTTTAATTTTTAGTTCTTTGAAATCACCAAAATCTACACCTACAAGATTCTTTCATTATTGTTTGGAATTATTCTAGCAGTTCTGGCTGGTTTCCTCTTCGCTCTTTTCACTTTCCTGAATGTGTGGGTTATTCGAGTGAGTTTTTTTTCTCATTTAATCTGCTTCCTTTGAAATAAACGGTTCCTGGGGCGTGTTGGCTCAAATCAGCAGAAAATCGAGAAAGTATAGAATTTTAGCCTGTTCTGTTCCTGGCACGAACACTTCTTCATCAAGTTCTATACATTTGGCCCACTATCGTCGTCTACGTTCTTCGGCCATGTTTCTACGCCACCGGAGCCGTATTTTCTTCTGTCCGACTGCACCAAACAAGTGGAACGGTCATTCGGGAAGTATGGGAGGACCACGTCCACACCGTGTGAAGCATTGTGGACCCACCTGCTATTTTCCCACTTTCTGTCGTAATAAAAGCTTTTTTATACGCCTGTTTGTGTTCAGCATGCATTCAATGTTTTTTATGACGTTTTAAAACAATGTCTACCAATTTCAGTTTACATTCTTTGCAACCCTAAATTCACACGTTCTCGACGCAAAGCTTCATTATAAAGTATTTTAAAAAATGCATATTGAAAAGGCAAGTCTATTTTTAAAGGACCATACGCTTCCTTGAAAAACATACTATGTACGGCAGAGCGCTATGAAAAACAATTTACGATTTTTCTATCCAGGAATTTTTTTTGCATTTTTTCTTTTCGAAAGCAATTTCTATTCCGGGTATCTGTTTTATTTTATGCAAAATATAGTGAAATTTTTGATTGTACGAAAGAAGAAAATTTCATTCCTTTTCATAAATTTTTTATTCGAATAAAAACGTTCGTGTTTTTGAAACCAAATTCATTTCTATTTCTTGTGTTCAACGAATCTTTAGGCTTTTCATCGTTCCATTTTTATCATCAATTTTGATCTAACAAGATCCGATTCAAGTCATTTTTTTGGTTGAAACTTCTTCAAAGATACGCCGAACTAAAAATGGTGCGACTTTTGGTTCGGCGTTTTTATTTAAGTGGGATCGTTTTCAGGTTTCCACGAAAACCTCTTTTCATACCTCACCCTCTTCCGATGAAAGCGCCGCATGTGCTTCAAAGTACGACAAACAGATCAAGCAGTGAATTTTTGATTTTTTTTTTCTTTTTTAACATTGCATTGTCGTTTACAAATAGCGTCGGAAAAAAATAAATTCAAATCAGTTGTTTTTCTTTCAATCCATTCTGAGAGAAATTCTAATTATTTTATTAGAAAGAATTTATCAATTTTTTTCTAGGATGATAAAAGAGTCTGACGAGAAGTTCAATGAGGTATTCCGATGTGCACAAGAAGCGATTTTAGAGGGAGTTCAGCCTCAACTGATCCCCGAAGGAAGCTCAGGTTTGAATATTGAAGTTTGAGTGCAAATCGGGTGGGTTAAGGCTCATATTTCGTGTACAACAAAGATGGAGAAACTATCGGTGTGTTCAAGCCAAAAGATGAGGAACCTTTTGCCGCCCTCAATCCAAAATGGCCCAAGTTTTTTCAAAGGTTCTCTTGACTAGATTTTTAGGCTTTTTTCATACGTTTCTCTAGAGTTTTGTGCTTCTGCTGTTTTGGACGAGCTTGTTTGATCCCGAACACCGGCTATTTATCAGAAGCAGGCGCCAGTATAGTCGATGAAATGTTTCATGTAATTCATATTTCAATAAGTTAACCATTGGGATCTTTTCAGTTCAATGTCATTCCGAAGACACGTGTGGTCAAGTTGGCTTCACCTTCATTTTTCTACTCTAGGTGCTGTGGACGAACAGAAATAAGACCCAAAGAAGGTAGTTTCCAGGTATCTTTTTCACTTTAGATTGATTCCAATCTTTTCATTCCCCATTTAAAAAATATCGGTCATCGCTTCACTCTCATGAATTTTCAAAAAAAACGCCTTTAGTGGAACAGTTTTTGAAAGATGATTCTGGCAAAAGTTTTTTGAGTAGACCGTTCGATACGCAGTGAAACGCTCTTCAAGATAATGTTTTTTACCTCAAACCCCGTCTTTACTACCCCTATGCCTTTGAGAGTGGACAAAATCGTTTGAAAAAACTTTTCCGTTGGCAAAATAATATAAAACAAAGCACTTGTAGAGATGTTAAAAAAAAATAAACATTCGAATTAATCTATTGTTTTTCTCATACATCATCATTTTTTATTTTTTGACTTAATTTCTAGTTGGAAAATGAAAAACTATTGATTTCCAAAAAATTTGTAATCAACTTCTGGGTATTTCTAAATTTTAACTCCTTTAAAAGGCGCAGACTTCTTAGGTGACTTGAAATAACACGAAAACGCTTTTCGCCTTCATGACGTCATTAAATCAGTTCTTGTGCCTCTAAAACCATCATACATAATGTAAAAAAATTTATATTGCGCATTTTTTTAAGCTTTTTGTGAAAGGATACGAAAGCGCAGCTGCAGTTTTTGCTCGATGGAATTACGATTCATCTCTTTTGTCAAAAGAACAAGAATCCAAGTTTCTTCCTCAAAATCTGTATATCGTGAACATTTTATTTTTGCAGATTCCTTTTTATGTTCCAGAAAATGTGCATTTTGGATTATGTCATCCGCAATACTGACCGTCATCCCGATAATTTATTGATAAAGTTTTTAAATCGAACAATAATATTATTAATCATTTTTTAAACAGACACATCCCTGGAGGAGATTTAGAAATTGCGGTTATCGATAATGGACTCGCGTTCCCTGTTAAACATCCAGAGTGCACAAGTCTGTTCAGGTTTTAGGGAACAAATGTATATTTTTTGAACAAATTCCTGATCTAGAACTTTTCCTTTCCGATGGGGCACTATGGATTGGGCGAAAGCCGACTGGGACGAAGACCTCAGAACCGCCGTTTTACAACAGCTCACGCCTATTTTCGTCCATGAACTGTGTCTGCAACTCAAGGTTCCTATTAAATTTGAGATCAGTCGTTTAGGAGTCTAGGAGTTTAAGAGTACTGGGAGATAGTTCCTAGTTCAAAACACCCAGGCGAATCGGGAGGGTGCCATAATGGGTCCACAAGTATTCCTCTCAAAAGGGAGCGTGGATATCCCATAATATGTCCTTCGTGAGACCTCCAGCATATTTTTTAGCACTAGCTGAGTCATATCGGATGTACTTGAGACCTCAAGTCTATCTCATTTTGCTCAAAATTTCAGAGAATAAGCTGTGGTAATTGTCAGAAAAATATATCGGAAAAGCTTCAAGGTTATGGGGACGACACTGTGCAAGAAAATTACATATTCAGAAACTGTTTTGCCACGGCTACGGAAACACACGTTTATTAGTGAACAGTCAGCTTCGGGTCGTTCGCGGACAAGTTGTTTCAGCTTCAAAATATTTTTTTCAACACTTCTTGCAGCTTTGGAATCTGCGAGACGCTCTTCAAAATAGAGAGCCGCCTGCCAAGCTTGCACAGAGGCAGCCGATCGTCGTCACGAGAACGTTTTTCTTTTTCATTTTGCCCCAAAATAGGAAGTTTTTTAGATACCGACGCGGCTTTCCAACAACTGACGACTGGGAACAGTGGTTCCGAATCAAAAATGTCGACTACGGAACTCGTCAATGCTGCTGATTCGATATTTTTTTGATAATAAAAAAATATTTATTATTTTTTTGTGTTTATTATTAATATGGTACAAATCCGGTCATGAAATCTAATTACTCGTTTTTTGTGAAGATCACAGCGGTCTTTTGTAGGCAAAGCATATGACGCCGTCTTTTTGCGCCTCGCAATGTTCGGTTGTTGACACGAGGTAAGTGAATCCTGCAGAGATTTGGTTGTCTTTCGCTGCCTCTGTTCTCGTCCTCCCATGTGGTCTAGTGGTTAGGATTCGTGGTTTTCACCCACGCGGCCCGGGTTCGATTCCCGGCATGGGAATAAATTTTTTGCTACTTCTTACCTGTCGTAGAACAGATGATGTCGACGCTGCTGTCTGGAAATTTGTTAATGGCATCATCGTGAATGGCTTTTTTCGAAGCTAAAGCGTCGCCGTTGGCAATGTTCTGAAACAGAACTTAGGGAAAATAGTTATTTGGTGATGAAAACATCCAATATCAAGCTACGCAGTGGCTTGCTATTGCATTTCTCATCAGAAAGAGAAGTTGCCGCTCCGCGAGCTTTCGAGAAGTTTCCTGTTGCTTCTGAAGTTCAATAGGAAATTAGTTGTGGGTTTTCTTTCAAACCGGAATTTTGGCTGTTGGTGATATCTTCAGCCAATTGTGAGAAGTCTAAAGGCGCTGCCGTTGCTTCAACGCTTGGCGAAACGTTAACCTTTGATAGTGATATACAAGTTCAGCAATAGGTAAGTTAAGAATACCTGTTCAAGTTCTTCTTCGACGGTCTCAGTAACATCGGATCCGGGAGTTTTCTTTTGGCGCAAAAGGATGTATTTCACCGGTTGAGGAGGACATGACTGTTAACGAAAATTTAGTGAAGTTGAATTAAATTTTCAGTCAAATTTTTTTAGAAAATGATAAAATCGAATTTTTAGAGTTGCTTCAAAATATTTCATCAAAAAATAATGAAAATGAGTTTTTGCAGATTGATTTGCTGTAAAATCTTTTGTATATGTTTGAAAAAAAGTTCTAAATTTTCACAAGTTTGAAGTTATAATCATTAGAAAAAGCACTAACATCTTTTTCTAGAGATGGAGCAGCACGTAAGATTGCCCGAGCTCCCGATTCGCTGCTGTTATTTTCAGATTCGGATCGGTCAGTTTCTTCGAGCTGCTCGGCCGTTTTGGCAGCTTCGGCCACTACGTGACTGCCTTCGTCATAGGCTGAGTTTGTCCATGAATCAAAAAAAAAACTGTTTGAACCTGCAATAGGCGGCGACTGTTGGTAGGACGAAGAAGAAGCGATTGGCCCTTGAGGTGGAAGTGGCGCTTGAGGAGCGTACGAGGAAATTGGACCCGCTTGAGGAACGCCGTATCCTCCGCCACCTTCAATTTTTGAACTATGAGTTTCTCTTGTTAGTTGGAAGGTAATTTTTCAGATTTTTGTGTTTTTTCCCATTGCAATATGCGTTACTTGTTGGCTACTTAGTTGGGATTATGGCACAACCAAGAAGAAATGAAAAGTTCTGAGTACTTGCTTCAATGCAGAGTGAGGAATTCTCACACAGAGCTTTGACGAGATAGTTTTGATAAAAATATATGTTTCTTTTCTGAGATTGAGATCGCATTCGTTTGGAAAGTCCTTCGTGGAGTTGTTAGTTGAACATAAAATTGGAATTGATCACTAATTAACCTGAAGCATATCCACCACCACCACCGCTGGATGGGAAGACTGCCGAAGAGTAGGATGGAGCTTGACTGTAAGAAGGAGCTTGCGCTTGGGCGTAGGTGTCTGAGGGAGCTTGAGCGTATCCTGAAGCTCTCTCTGGCTTTTCTACTTATTCCATAAAATTTTACCTCCGCCACCGCCTCCGCATCCTCCGCTGCTACATCCTCCACCTGAGGAGTAGGATTGAGCGCAGCTATTTCCAGCTGAAAAGCTGAACTCTGAATGAAACACTTGTGAGTAGCATACAGCATGAAGGAACGTAGACTGGAGAGACGGTGGGGCAATAGGCAGCTGGAGGCGGTGGACAAGGCTGAGGAGGAGGACATACAGGACATGGCGAGGATGGAGCACACTGGAACATGGGCTATAGAAGTTTAAAGTAATAAGAAATTTGTTCCTATAAAATTACCAGGTAGGTGTTTGCGCGCGAAAAAAATTTCTTGTTTTTCAAAAATAACTCAATATTATTTTCTTGATATTTTTTTGGCCCACTGAAATCCTACGGTTTTTTTAATTTTGAAAAATTTAACATTTTTCTCATGAATGTGATATTATCGTTTCCTGAAATAAAAAAACTTAACAGATAACATCGTCCTGAAGAAAATATCAATTTGTTTTTGAGTATCGATACAAAAAAGCTTTCTTTCAGTCCTACCCCAGGCTAGTATAGCAAGTCAAACTCACACTTCTTTGACGACTCTGAAAGAACTTAAATTCTCAACAAAAAAAGCCCTACTAATTGATAGGTTTGAAAAATCTGAAAAGAATGTGGGAATTAAGGAAGCCTCAAACGCGATATATAGTTATTTTCAATCATTTTTCATTTTTTCAAAGATTTCACTAACCGCCGATTGGCATCCGCAACTCGGTGGCTGCGGCGTTCCACAGCCACAGCAACAGCCTCCGCCGCCACTTGGAGTTATCGAAGGGAAGAAAATGGCAAAAGCCAAAGGAATACCGGAGAAAATAACCAGAAGCTTAAACATTTCGAGACGCTTTTGAAAACGGAAAAAAACAATCGCCGCTGACTTTATACTTGTTCCCAAGTTCTGACCCACATTATCTGCTCGCCAATACTAGCTTTTCCCGTATTTGTAAGCGGCGGACGAGAGTGAAAAGTGTCGAGTTAGTCGAGATGAATTTCTATTTCGCTTAGTTGAACTGAAACTGGTTTTCGGGCGCTAGTTCGTTGTTATCAGTTTCGATGAATAGCCGTTCAACTTTCTTATACTCGATTGATGTCGTTCCAAACACCTTCAGTAATTTATGAAGTGGGCCGTTTTGTTTTTTGCTTCTAGTGAACTTTTTAGGAGGCTCGTCCAGAATAGCTGAAGGTTTTTTTGGCTCTATTTTGGCTTCATTTTGCATCTTTTATCACCTTTTAGTCATAAAAATGGGAATCGAATTTTCATAAAACCTTGCTGAATTATTTTTTGTAGCTTGACTGTGCGTCTTTAAACTTTAAAAAACTTTTCTGAAAAATAATGCTCTTAAGATGGGGTAAACTTTTTCAAGCGCATCTACATTTTCTTCGATTCTCTTTTTTCGACTTTGAGGAACCATAAAAATGATCATCGATTCACCTCTTACACTTCCTCGATGCCTACGTTCAAACGTTCTCTGAACAGACTATAATTTCTCACGTGCGCCGATACACTATGAGAGATAGGCGATTATTGGGGAGAGAGAGAGAAAGAAACGGCTGACACGCTTCAAGTGCGCTCCGGCGTAACACGTTCGAGGAAAACCCCATGTGATTTTCAACTGACAAGAATTCTTCGTGACGTAACTCGATTTTTTTGAGCTCTCTCTAGAAAATAGATCCAGTTTCTTTGCCATCGAACCTGCCTCATTTTAAAAACTTCCGTCTATTTTCGCTCGTTTTTTGTTTCAAACTTTTCTTCTTACCTTTGGTTTCTTTCAGATGCGTTCGGCATTCCGAAATGTGACGACGAGTATAAGGAAACTGATCGAGCCGAACACTCAAGCTCCTGGGCAAACAGTTTATCTGACCCACGTGAAATGGATCACCGGCAAATGTAGTCTTCCCAATGTCTTTCTTCCGATTAGTTTCTTTTTTCAGCACAACTCGAGCACTATTTCAAGCGGTATGGGCAGATACAAAGCGTCAATATGTTTTATGTGAGAAAAACTTTTAAAATGAAGGATATTCATAAACTTTTCTCCAGGATTCGCGTACCGGTCTCCATCGTGGATTCGCCTCTATTACGTTTGAAGAAAAAGAAAGCGCAAGTAAGGCTATCGAACAGCGGCCTCACGTCATCGACGGAGATCGAGTTAGTTTCTTTTTTTTGAAAAATAGAATATCTCGAACTCTCACCGGTGTCGAAATGACGAAAATCCTTTTGTTTCAAAATTTTTATAAAGCTTTTTGATGCCTAATTTGTCAATTCGGAGTGACTTTCCCATTTTTTTACGTCACTAATCAAAAATGTTTATAATCATTTTTTTAAACCGATCGACGCTCTGAGCTTTGATGGATTGATTATGGCAAAGTTGGTTAAGTTTTCGAAAACCTTTGTAGAATTTTTTTGATGTGAAAGACAAAAAAATTTTTATCTTACCATAAAAACGTAGGGATAGTTTATTACTCTTTATGTTTTCTAGAAAGACCCCAAAAAGGCCTAAACTAACGCAAAAATGATCCTTTAAAAACTTTAGCAAAGACTTGTGAAAATACAAAACAAAAATGATCATTTTAATTTGATTAACAACAAATCTCATAACCTTCAATAATCTCATTTTTAGGTCGATGTTGAGCCGTATGTACCTTTGATATCGAAGAACAAGAAAAAAGATGTTATGTTGTAGTTTTTTTGCATTTCTATCTCTATTGGTCCTACTTAGCACCGTTCTAGAATATTCAATCGTATTGTTCATCAATAACTTATCTTGGCCAATTTTTCCACGTCTTCGAACGATGAAAAACGAGCCTTATGCAATTTTCAAATGTATTTAGAGGCTTCTTGACGGTTACTGGTAATTCCCCGTGATTTTCGTTACGGCAGAAAGAAAAGGAAAGAAAAAATCTCACTAGGCTTGATTTTATCGGAGTTTTTTTGAAAAATCTCATTGCCCTTTAAGTTATGTTCGATATGAGATGTATTGTTGTGAGTTCAAAACTGCTGGTAACAATAAAATTGTTTTATTTCAATGTGCTGATCTATCCATCCGAGAAATTATTAGAATCCATGAGTATTGAACAAGGGTAAAGTATAAGTTTCATAGGCGAAATCTTCAGTGTGTGTCGTGTCGTTGTAGACCCCAATGTAATCGATTTCAAGACAAAAGTCGCCGTCTATCCGGTCCATCAGAACTATTCCGATTGAACTGCAAAGTGAGAAAACTGATCCGAAAAATAGATGGAAGCAGTACCTGCAATCTTCGAGATTGACTTTGTACTGTCGATCCTGTATCCGTCCAGCGACCGTGTGGAAAAACTTGGAAAACGGAATTTTCTCGTACTGCCAGTAAGGACCGCCATGCGTGTGGAGTGGGTAGGAAAAAGAGTCGCCCCAAGTAAAGTCCATCGACAGCGGCGAGTGAAGCATCACCTTGTAACTCCTTCCGTCCCCGCGTACCTTGAAAATAGTTTTGAATTTGGTAATTTTTCTTCCTTAAACGCATTCTTATGTGCCAGACTTCTTATGATATCAGAAACAATGGAATTCGAATGAAAAGACTGGAGTAAAATTTTTAAAAATTCATCAAAAAAAGATTTTTCGTCTTAATTTCGTTTAAAAAAACCAGAAATCAACATTCAGACGCGGACTTTCACTGGATTTAGAGCATGTTCGTGAATCTTCCCGAAAATTCGCTCAGATTTTTTTGTTGGAAGAAAAAAATTAGAGAATGAAAAAAAAAAATTGGAAAGCCTCGACACAGAGGAACCAAAAGTTTAAAATTTTGAAAAGATGAATGAGAAGAGAATGAACAGTCCCCACTAACCTTCAACAAAAGATGAGAAAAGTTTCGCCAGCGAGAAAGGAACTTTTTCCTATTAAAAGACCGCCGATCCTCAAGTTTCAGAGAGGCCCATCCGGCCCTTTCAACACGACCGTCTTTGACGACTTGCGTTGAAATATGGCCACTGAAAATACCGAGCATACATGGGCAAAATATTTTTGAAGGTCAGAAGCACTTCTAGTTTGAGAAAAGAAAACTTTAGAGACGTTTGAACCTCTCCTTTGAGCCTTATCTTCAAATAAAAGTCAGTACTAACTCCTGAAGTTAAGATCTGATTTAATTCATGGCACCACCTGTTTGAGGTTCAAATTATTTTATTCCTTCAATTTTTAAGTTTTCGTAAGTCACATCTCTTGCTGGATTAAGTTCTGTACTTACTCAGGTACCAAAAAAAATCATCAGAAGTAAAAAAAAATTAAATACCTGAACTCGGCAGTTCCACAGTCGGTGCCACGAAAGGAACACGTCGAGAAGCCCTCCTTCCAGTCGCTGTCGCAGCCGGAATGCCACAGAGACCTGTTCTGAAGAAATCGAAGTTCTAGCAAGACCGAAAGTGTTTAAATTTTCGGCTCGGAAACTGTAAGCTCAATTTACAACGGATATTTACATTTATCGCTCAAAATAAAAAGCTTCAGAAATTAGAAAAAAACTTTTTTTAAAGAATTTTCACAAAACTCACGAGATTTTTTTGATCTCTGCCGAAAAAATTAACAAAATGAATCTCATAATATTTTTACGATTCTCGGAAAATTTATTGTATAGCAAAAAAATTTATAAGCCGCGTTTTCTCCTCAAAATTTTATGGATTAAAAAATGACTTCTTCTGTGTCAAATCGGAACTCGACGCGAGCCTCATTGTGCCGCAAAAGACCGATGTCTTCGAGAAACTCTGGTTTTTCGAGGGAGGCAGACTTTGCCATCTGCGCGACTTCCTTCGCCACCAATTTGGATTGCTTTTTTATGGTTCTCGGCAATTCCTCGAGAAGTTCCTTGGCCGAATAGGTTGGATCATAGCCAGGAATGCCCTTAAAACCTTGAGAAATGAGGGAAAAGGTCGAAGATCAACCTTGGGATTGGGAATATTGATATTGACCGGCACCGTGCTCCTTGCGAACACCGAGCGCTTCTTTTTCTCCAAGACGTTCGCTTCTCCTTGCGCTTTCTCGAAAAAGAAAAAAAAAATGATGAAACTTTCGAATAACGTTAAATGGCTGCAGTTTATCAGCAACTATCGAATTCAAAAATTGAAACAATAAAATTCAAAAAGTTGCTAATAGTTAAAAAAAAGTATTTCTCCTTTTTTTACGGCCTTTCTAGTTTGACGATAATTTTGGTGACCTGGAAGATTTCGAAAAGAACAAAGGCAAATAAACTTCAAGAAAGAAAGGCTGGGAAGCAACAATTCTAACTGCTTGGAAAGTAGAAAAGTTTAAAATTAGCTATTCAATCTTTATTGTAATAATTTCAAGTTCTAAGCCGCCTATCAATATAATTTTTTTAAATTAAAAAAATTGAAAATTTTTTTAATTTAAATTTTTTTCGATACCTGCAGTTTATCCTTCAACGGGTTCGTCATGATGCTTCGACGTGGTTTCTGATTTTCTTCCTGCGGAGCCTCCTTCGAAAAACTCAACGCCGTTATGTTTGATCCGCTCGGAACAAGGGAGCTTTTGCAGAGAAATCGAGGCAATAAATGCCTCTGGATTAGCATTTCAAACTGAAAACATCTGAATTATTAATAAAGACAAATAGTAGCTAGGAAATTTGAAGTTCGAAAAAAATGAAAAATTTTTTTAGCTCCAAAAAGAAGATAGGAAAAAGAGTTGAGAAATTTCACCAGCTATATGGATCTTGCAAATTTTTTTCAAAATTTTTCCAAATTTTTTTCAACAGAATTGAAAAAAATTATCTCACTCGATGAAAAAAATTTATTAGTTGAGTTTAAAAAAATAAACTTTTTTTATAAAATCATAAAAAAATATAAATTTATAATATAAAAATTTTTGAACATTTCCAGTATGTAAAATTTCGGAAAGTGTCTGCAGAAAAAGACACACTTTTTTCCGTTCACTGCAAAATTAAAAACTCTACGTAAATGGGGAGTTTGATTGAAAGGATTTAAAAAAAAGATTTTGAACAAAAGAAAAAGAAGAAAAACGTGAATTGGCGTTATTTCTTAAAGAATCCTTCTCGGAAGTTGTCTGAATGGAGGATAATAAAATGCCATTGCGTTCAGGTGTACAAAAGAAAGGTTTCTTTTAAAATAACCTAAAACTTTTTCCAGCAAAAAAAGTTTCGAAAAATTCAGAAAAAACGGGAGGACAATTAAAGTCGATATTCATGAGGAAGTTGTCTTTGCCTTCGAGGAGAAAATCTTCTCGGACAACCTCGTCGAGAGCTCAAAGCACACGCGAGTCTTACAAAGATAAAATGCTTCGAAAATATGGGAAAGAATTAAAAGACGCGGAAGGATACAAGAAAGCAAAGTGAAGAGTTGAAGAAATAGGCGGAAACCCTCGAAAATTCCAGAGAAGACGCAAAACAAGAGAAGAAAAACTGGCTGAAGTACAAAATTGAGCAGGCTGTCACAATCTTCCAACCAGAGACTAAATATATTTCGAAGACAGCAAAACTTGATGATGTCTTTCCCAGCTAAATACTGATTGAATTGTCAATTTTTCAGAAACATCCGCTGGCAAACAGTCGGAACAAGGTCAAAGACAAGGATGGTCACGACATGAAAATCACTTTCGGAAAGCTTCACGAAAATATTCTGAGCATCTACCCGAACCGTCAATTCATCTTAATTCCTGAACTTGTGAGTTTGGCTAAACACCGTACTTGATGACGGGAAACTTCTTGCATTGCCGAGAGAAAAAAAAAAAAAAAAATGAAAGAAAAATTTTTTTGAGCTGTGAAAAATCTCTTGAATTAGATAGTGTTTGCTCTATGGCTAGTTCAATTTGCAATTAAATGAATACTAGCGCGCACAAATTCATTTGCGGCGAGGCTCAGCTGTCCTCGTCTCTTACTGTTATACAATAAACTGGGAAGCGAAAAACCCAAGATTTCAAGATAGAAATGGAAAAAGAACGGAACACGGTGGGTGATTCCTACGTCCGTCGGCACAAAATCGGCCACGCTGTCGAACACAAAAAGGAAAGGACCAAAAAACGCAACACTTCCTTTTTCTCCTTGTCCAGGTTATTTCCCAGATAGATTTTCTTTTTCAAAACAGTCTCTAAGGAACCCGGACGGAGAGTCTCCTGATACAAACAAGAGACCCGAGCAGAGCGAAAGCGAAGCGCAGATTTCGATAAGACACACAGAATCAACGACTAAGGCGTCGGTCGAAAATGGTGCTCTTTATAAGCTTTTTTTTCAAAATCGACATACTTCAGAGATAAACACGACGGACAAAACGGCAACTATATTCGCTAAAAGTTGGTACACGAAAGCCTTGCAAATCAAAACACGGAACAAAAAAGACACCAAGAATGTCGCTTATTGGACCGAAATGTAGGCAGAAAAGGTTTTGAGGAACCTTAGATATCGGTTCAGAGACAAAGAAAACACGACGATGATAGACGATGATGAGTTCGCCGTCACTGCAGAAACCATTGAAGATGTTTTTGAAACTGTCGATTAATGACCAAAAGAAGTTGTTCAGACGTTGACTGGGGCATCCGGCGTGAACAGACCAGAAGAGTTTCGACCACCTAAATTCGACGAAGCATTCGGATCTTTGAGCAAGATGGTCGAGGAGGCCAAAAAGTCTTCGAGCCGGTATGATTCATTCACTTCGACTCGTTTTGAAGTCCGAAAAAGAATTTTGCAATATTGCTAGAACAAAAAAAGTCAACCACTTTTCCTATTGAGAGCTCACGTCTACCGTAACACTGTTTGGGGTACTATCGATTTCACAAAATCTACCACTGCTAAAAAAGAAGAGTAATACATTGGGACTTTTTCACACAAAAAAACGTGATCATTTCAGGGCCAAGTCGAAAGAGAAAACTGGTCAAGCTTCAGTCACGTGGGGCACCAGGATTGAGGCAAGGAACCTCCAACGAAAACAGAAAACTAATTTTTTCCAGGTTTCTGTGTACAAAGGCAAAAGAATGAAGCGGGACAAGCATCAGCTGTCCGTACGGTTCCAAAACCCGAAAACGGAAAAAATGGAAAATATTATTCTCAATCCTCCTGAAAAGCCCTGTGTAGTATAAAGCTTTCATTCTTCGTTCTTCGTTTAATCTTTAAAAAAATACTTGGCAAAACCTGAGCACTCAAGGGGCTAGAGTCGGGTTTCGAAACTGAAATTCGACCGTGAAAAACTTTGAAAATAAGAAGGAAAGTTACGATTTTTTTCGATGCGTCTTTAATTTGAAAAATAAAAAAATTTTTTTGTGAAAGAGAATTTTTCGCTATGCCCATAGCAAATATTGAAAAAAAATTTATCGACTTGCTGGACTTTTTTAAATTGCATCTTTTCATTATGCATTTTTGGTCCCAACCTTAAGTCTCAAAAAGTTCAAAAAAACCTGCAGTATCGGAAAAAACATCTCTTTTCTCGCTTGCACGTAATTTTTTCAATTGTCTTTTATAAATTCCAAATTGGACTTCCAAAAAAAAAACCCCCCACGTAAAGTGAAAATCCAAATTGTGGCCATTTCGTCTTTTCGAGTTCTCGTCAGCACGTTCTCGATTGAAGAAGTGGTTTGATAACAATCAAAATCTTAACCTTCCAGAGTTTTCAGCAAAGATGGGAGACCTGATTCAACTAGATTGTGGAAAGAAAGTCAAGCAATGGAGAATCGATAAAAAACTCGGAGAAGGAGCTTTCGGCGCCGTCTACAAGTGCAGCAACGAAAAAGGCGATTTTTACGCTTTGAAGGTTGGATGGGGGCCGAATACCAGAAAGTAATAAGATGCAGGTGGAAGGTAAGGACGAAAAAATCCAGCTACTCAAAATGGAAGTCTACGTACTCGCCGAACTGATGAAAAGCGGTGGAAGGCATTTTTGTAAAATCAATGACAAGGTAATTAATCCGCCTCCGCAAGTGGAATGGCTCAAATTCGACCGCTTCGCTTGAAACCATTCTTTGTGCGACCAAGACTTGAAAGGGTACAAAGGAAGAAATTTTAAGGGAACATATGAGAACTTCAACTACGTGGTGATGACGTTTGTCGGATTGTCGCTGGCCGATTTGCGACTCATGTCGCCCGGAAAAAAATTCTCGTGAGTAAAAATGTTTCCATGATCTTTATGAAAATGACTTCAGTATGGGAACAGCCATATCGGTCGGCATTCAATGTTTGGAAGCTTTGGAAGATTTGCACAATATTGGCTATCTCCACAGGTAACCTTTAATATTACTTACCTCGGAGTATCCCTCTATTTTGGTATTGACTTTCCGAAAATTTTGATAACAGAGACGTCAAGCCAGGAAATTACACGATTGGAAGGCCTGAAGTTGACGAGCTTCGCAAGGTCTATGTACTTGACTTTGGTAAAGCCTTCAGAGTTCTTTTGAACAGTGAACGGCTCAGGAATGGCCAGAAAATTCGTTCACGAAGATGGAACGATCAAGAAACCAAGAACTGTCGCCGGCTTCCGTGGGACAGTCAAGTACGCGCCCGTCAGTTGCCACTCCAACAGGTAGCTTGAAAACAAATTTCAAAGAAAAAAAAAGATTCTCAGAGAACTTTGTCGCCAAGACGACTGCGAGACTTGGCTCTACATGCTGGTTGGGTATAAGTCTTGCGCAATAAGAAAGTCTTGCAGGTCGAACTAACAAAGGGGTCGCTGCCCTGGCGCAACCTGACTGACATCGCTCAGATCGGCAACGAGAAGCGGATGTGCCGAACAAACGAAATCCAGCAGAAGAAGTTCTTTGGAGGGTAAATTCTCAACTTCGAACAAGAAGGAGAATCGAAGTTGAAGTTGTCCTCGCGAATTTATCGACGTGATGCGCGCCATCGACGGCGGCAAGTTCTTCGATGAGCCCGACTACAATCGGATTTACTACCTGCTCAGACAGGCGATGAAAAACACTGGAGCCGTCGTGAGAAACTTATTTTGAATATCAAAATTACGGAATCAAAAAAAAAAAGAAAGGACAGTTCGATTACTGTTGCGAAAAGGCTCTGGGAAGCTACAGTTTGTAGAAGATTTCTTTCTTGAGTTTCAAGTGGAGGCAAAATGTTAAAATAAAAAATAACAAGGCGAGGAGCCGTTTTCAGTGTAATCATGACTTTTTCAGCAAGGCTTTTTTTGAAAAGGCTATCCCGAACTTATTTCTAGAAGAAAAGAACTTACATAGAGAAATTTTTCTTTTTTCGAGAGCGGTTTCTCGGTAATTGTTCAAAGGGCTTTCAATTTTTTTTTCATAGTTAAAAACTCTTTGAGAAATTCATCTTTTGATGCCATTTTTGAGCGATTTCTGAAGTAATCTGAAAATCTTTCTGAACTCCGAACGAGGAATCTTATTCTCCCACATCGTTGCAACTCACAATTACAGGAATTCCCGTACGACTGGGAAGACAGACTGAAAAAGCAACACAAGGAAGATCAAGAGAAGAAAAAGTCGGGCGTGAGTTTGCTCGAGATGTATAGCCTATTCCGCGCCAGCTTGTCACGTTTTCCTTCCCGCCAAAAAGACCGTATACCAAATTAGATCAAATGTATGCTTTTATAACGGCAAGAAACAAAGGTCTTGAAGCGAAAATTGGTTAAATTTGACCTGGTCTTTTTGGCGGAAAGAAAAACGTGAAAAAGCTGCGGAATGGCCTATAGAAATGTATACATACTCGGTAAACAGGCGATCATCCCTATGGCTCCTGATGACGCGCCCTCGCCGCCGAAAGAAAAAGAGGATAAGAAGGATGAAAAGAAGGATGAGAAGAAGGAGGAGAAGCACGACGGACTCGTTCAAGAGCACAAGGGCGAAAAGAAGGACTGATTTTGGGTAACTACTAAAATTATTTTGATCATTAAACCAATATATGATGGATATTTCGTTTAGAATGTCACAAGCGGCCACATCGACTACCGAAAATCTCAATTTTATAAAAATTTTCGCGTCACTCGTTACCTTTTCAAAGAGACACATGAAAAAACAAAGTTATGAACGCATTTTTTAGAATCTTAAAAGTTTAGAGTTCATAGAGAAAAATTGACTCACCAGCTGTCTGCTGAACGTTGAAAGAAGATTTGAAACTCGGGAACTCGCTCGTTTTTCGCACGAAACTTTTACGAATTAGAAAAGGTCCCACGCTTCAAGAAGTAATAATTTGCTCAAAACCAAAATGAAATCCACTATCTTCCTCCAACACACCGACCACACTTTATTCACATTGGAAAGAGAATATCGCGATCTTATAATTGCATAGAAAATATATAATAACCTCGGAAGCCAACAAAATCGGAAGCCGCAAGAGTAATTAGTCAGAGTGATCAGTTGAAAGAACAGGCGCATATGAAACTGCAGTTTGACCCAAAAAGAAGGAAAGTTAGTTTAAGCCGCGACCGGAAACCATTGTGAAATGTACAATCAATAAATGTGGAAAGCTACTTTGTATCGCAGAAAAATGGAAAATGATATCAGCTCAAGTTGTGAAAACTACTTAGGACCATACCGAAAAAAGAATGAAAGATTAAATTCAAAGAAAATGCAAGTTTATTTCAACTGAACGTTGAAGAAGGGTCAGTTAGATTTTAATGGGAACAGAGGAAGACTTTTCGAGTTTCCCAAAAGGTTCAGCTTCTTTGTGGGAGACGATCCATGCATGTTTCAGTACTTCTTCCAGTGGCAGTCTGAAAACAAGTCGATTCTCCATCCAACGCTCAATTATGCCGTGCTTAAAGGCATAGGGGCAGTAAAAATGGGGTTTCAGGTGAGAGCAGTACCTTATAAAGTTTTTCATTGCGAATCGAATGGTGTACTCAAAACAATTACAGATGTGACAACTTTAGAAGAAAAACGCGGTTTTACTTTCCCGCCTTTAATTTTGAAAAAAGCTTTGGATCGGCCTACGGACAACTGTTTACAGTAGCCGTGCACGCGATGTTGCGGACGTCTCATTAGACTCGCATTTTGTGAGAAACAACCGGATTTCTGCTTCAAATTAAGGATTTCTTCTCTGAAAAATCAATTAAGAAAACAGAAAACACACATTGATAATAAAGAAAACACAAAATATCACAATCCCAATCGAAACCTGTGTAAAATTATCATTTTTCACCAGAGAAGCATTTTGCGAACAAAGTTTGCAAATTATACATGAATAAAAAGCTTTTGTGACGAAAAGAACTTTGGTGACAACAGAAAAAATTGAAAATTGAAAGAAACGAAGAAAAAAGCGAATATCCGGAAGATGGCGAAGCCTGTTGTCCATAGAGCAACTTAACTGCGAAGCGCCCTTTTGGCGGGAACTCAAGCTTTCATTTCTCCGACGTTGAATTATTTTTTCTTCAAAACTAGGAATTTCTGTACGTTTCCAAGTTCACCGTTCGATTCGCAATGAAAAGCTCTACAAAATACTGCTTTGAACTGAAACACCGTATTTTACTGCCCCTATGCCTTTAAAGTGATTCCGCGAAGTTCAAAATGGCCGCCAGAGAGTGAAGAAGATTTTCAGAGAAAATATTCCGCTTGATCGCACTTCGCAGAGGTGGAGGTTAGCTGCCTTGCCATAAACGCCCAAAAGGCAATAATGACTATTTCAAAAGTCAGCATGGCGCGACGGTCATTTGTATGCCGAAATCGCCCTATCATCTAGAAGCTCTTGTTTTAGCAATCTGTGAAACCTGTGTACACCAGGGAACTTGCAGTGTTGAAAACAAAAATCCAAGTATAAAAATTTTTCGCCTAAATAAATTTTTTGATTAGGGCTCGCTCGGGGACAAGTTTCTCGAACTCGGAGACGAGTTTCGAGTTGAAACTTTGGTGGCATGTAGACCTAAGTAAGATCTCTTGTGAGCATGGTAGATTATCTGCTAAAAATATAGGACCCTAAGAAAAAGCACTCCAATAAATTCAGTAAGAGTTCTGTAAGCGCCGGACCTTCTTTCACAACGAGGCGGCTTTTTGTGTGAGTTCGATATCTGCCCTGAGCATTTTTTTGAATTTTTCTTGAAAACAAAAAAAAAGTTGTAAAAATACGAAATTCGAAATGCAAAAAAAAAGACCTAGGTGCCAAAGTCCACGTAAATTATTGGCTCATTTCTATCGTTTGGCTCAATGTCTCGGCTTGGCCGCCATGCCTTGGGCTGCCTCCTAATCCTGCACCTCTGTTACTTCGTTATTTGGATGTCCCAAGGAAATTAGGAACCATTGCTCATTGATTCTGCAACGGCACACGCATCTTGGTCATTTTGTAGGCAAACCAATGAGAGCTGTGAGTGAAAATTTTGACAAACAGATCGAAAATATGGTTTGCCCCGGGATAAAACGCTGAGAAAAAAGCTCCATAACGATTTGGTTTTGAAAGAAACTAAAATAAAAGCTACCGTTCGTCGGGATTGACCTTGAGAAGACGCCTGATCAAATCCTGACATAGTGGGCTGACACGGCTTTCTTCCTCGCCCTCTTCGAGATAGAACTGTGAACAAATGAAGTTTGAAACGAAAAACACGAGAAAATCTACCACAATGTCGCATTTCTGAATACGATCCATCGTCCTTGTGTTCGTTCTTTCCGCGAATGGCGCTCTGCCGCACACCATCTCGTACAGTAGGATTCCCATCGCCCAAATGTCAACCTAAAACAACAAAATTTCTTTCGATTATAAATATCTTCGAACCGTGTGATTGTGCTCCTTGTTGGAAACCATCTCCGGCGGCAAATAGTCCAGAGTTCCGCAGATGGTTTTCCGCATCGAGTGATCCGAGACAACTGCCCAGCCAAAGTCTGCTAGCTGCAACATTTTCAAATTACAGAAATTATGAAGAAATCGAAAAGTTCGAACTTGGTTCAGTTCAAATGTCCCAAGGAAATTAGGAACCATTGCTCATTGATTCTGCAACGGCACACGCATCTTGGTCATTTTATAGGCAAACCAATGAGAGCTGTGAGTGAACATTTTGACAAACAGCTCGAAAATATGGTTTGCCACGTTATGGAACGATGAAAAGTCAAATCAAAGCTTCTTGAATTTTAGGAACCCTTCGAATCTTAGTTTCCTTCCCTATTTATCGTAGATTTTTGATATACTATATAAAATTCACAAAAATTGAATACAGAAAGTTTTTTTTTGAAAGACGCATCGGAAAAATATGTCGATGTCTTGGAATTATTGATTTTAATTCTAAAAACTTCCGAATTCCTTTAAAAAAATTTGCTTTATTTGCCATTACATTGGCTGAAAATCTTCATCAATTCTGCTACACACCTTGATGTTGAGATTCTTATCGATTAGAAGATTTTCCGGTTTTATATCCCTGTGGATAACGCCTCTTTCGTGGCAGTACATAAGAGCTTCCGAAATTTGACGAATGAATCTGAAAATTCAGATCAAACAATCGTTGGAAAGAAGATTAGAGCCTTTTTTCAAAAACTTAACAAACTCCAAAACCAAAATAAGTTTTTTTTTACTTTTCGAAGAACTTACTTGGCAGCCAATTTTTCAGGAAGTATTCGATCCTTGTAACTTTTCAAATAGCTGTAAAGCTCGCCATTGAGTGCAAAGTCCAAAATAATGTATACTCTGGATGAGTCATAGAAAAAGCCAAATAGAGCGAGTATGTTTGGATGCCTGAGATTATTTCAGATACACGGAAGCGCAAAGCTCTTACTAACCGTAAATGGTACTGTATTTCGATTTCTCTTTTTATCTGATGTACAACTCCGTAATTTACCAGTTGTTTTTTGAAAAGTACCTGAAAAATACATTTAATTTTTAGGATGAACAAAAACAAAAAACCTTGAGAGCGACCACTTTCCTTGTTTTCTTCTCTCTCGCCATAAAAACGCTACCAAACTTTCCTTTACCTAGAGGTCGACCGACATCAAAATCCGACAAAGTCCATCTAAAAACAATTCGATCTTAACTTTCAAAGCTCACAAACATACCCGTCCTGATCAGCCTGCGTTTCAGAAACCGATTTTTCATTCTGAAAAAAATGAATAGTTTCAGCTTATACAGAAAACAACCTCTAATTCTGAAGTGGGACTCGCGTTATTCTCTTTGTCTTCGATCTCCGATAGCGACATTCTATTTACTGCAAAAACGAGATAATTTCATTGATCCCAAAGAGTGTTCAAAACGCACAACCCTATAGCTTTCAAATACGGAGTGAGAATAAGATTGCAAATGTTGTTCGGGTTTCCTTTCATCATTATTTAGATGCCGTGTTAAAAACTTACTCCGCAAAAATCGAATAGCCGTCAGGGATTAACAAGATAACTGAACTTGGAGACTCAGAGATAATTTTGAATTTCGCGGTAATTACTTCGAACACGAGTGTAATGCCTTGTTCAACTTGGTTCCGCGAAATGCAAAAATACCCGTTAGAGAAAGGAAAGATAACTAAATTTTAGAGAGTCAGAGATCATTTTGCATTTCGCGAAATGAAAGTGAACACGGCATAAGGCCAGAATAGAAAATAACTAAACCGGACATGGCAACGCGGCGAAAAGAGCTCAAAATGAGAGTGCACTTGTTTTGCGAATGAATTGATCACCTTTTTTTTTGAAATTGCCGCGCTGAAAGGAATTTCCATGGAGCGAATTTTGTAATCATAACTATTTTCATTTTTTTCCTTTTTTTATAATATAACCTTTTTTTGTTTCTTTACCTTCTTTCTCTACTATTAATTTCAGTTTCAGTATATTTAAATTAATGAAAACTGTTCAGGTTGAAAGGATTGCGAAACAATGGCGGCAAACTCGGATGATGTGAGTTCATATATATATTTTTTTTCAAATATGTTTCAAGATATATCGAGCGTTGTCGGCAGACGATGCAGCAGCAGCTCCTATGTGCGTGGAAAGCATGTGTATGAATTGCGAAGAAAATGTTTGTTTATCTTTCGATCTCGCTATTTGAAGTATTTTTCAGGGAGAAACGCGGTTAATGTGTACATCTATTCCATACTATAAAGCTGTTATTTTGATATCATTCGAGTGTCCGCACTGTGGCTTTAAAAATAATGAAATTCAGAGCGGCGAGGCTGTCCAGGTTTGAGGGCGGAAAACATTAAAATATTTCGAGATTCAATTTTCCAGGAGCATGGAACTGAAATAGTGTTGAGAGTGAAAGAACAGCCAGATTTGCGAAGACAAGTCGTCAAAAGCGAATATGCATCGATTGAAATCCCCGAGCTTGAACTCAATATCCCCAGCAAATCTCAGCCTGGAGGTAAAGATATTGCTATTTCAAGCTTTTGAATCTCATTTTTCAGAGATCACGACAGTTGAAGGAGTTTTGAGTAGAGTCAAGTGCGGTCTCTCTCAAGATCAGGAGGCTCGGAGGAAATTGGATCCTGAATCGGCCGAACAAATCGACAGATTTATTGAACGATTAGACGACTGCTTAGAACTGAAAACGACGTGGACTTTGGTTTTTCATAGGAAAACAGCGATTTTGAAGAACTTCTTTTTAGAAACTGCGGGATCCGACGGGAAATTGTTTTATTCAAAATCCAGACGTTCGACACGTTGATCCTCGGTGTATTGTCGCACATTATCATCGACCTTTATTGGAAGACAAACTTCTCGGATTGGTTGGAGACGAGTCAGTCATTTTCAGAACTAATCTTGAGGGTTTCCTCGAAATTTGATTTTTCGAAAAAGTTTGAATTCCATTCTTCGAGAGTCCAATTTCTGAATAATTTCATCTTCTGTCTTTTAAAGTTTCTGAACTGAAAGTTATAAGAATTAAAATTTCTCACTGTGAGGTTAGTAAGAGATACAAGATGTTTTTAATTACATTTCAATTTAATTGATGAATATTAGAAAAATTTTTACAATCTAATTTTGAAATTTAATCGCCAAACCTTGATGAAATGTTATAGGTAATAAAGATGAAAACGTGAAGAAACAAAAAATTTTGAGAAAAAGAGATAAAAACGCAAAAGAAACCAAACATGTACAATCTGAACGAATTTATGTATGTTTTACTTCTACATATTGAATTTCTGGCCGTCAAATTTTTGGAGTTGTTTTGTTGTTGTTTTTTGGATCAAATTTTTAGTGTAATAGTTTTTTTTTTTTCATTTATTGTCTTATGGTTCAGCTAATGGTGAATCAAACTGCGGGAGTTTATTTTGATTCCTTCAGCGAAGAAGAAGAAGTGGAAGCGGCCGAGGAGACACCTGCCCCGGAATGGAACTCTTTCGAAGACGCCAAAGGAGAAGTCCTTCATTTCCCCACGAATTGTCCCAACTGCAGAGCTCCTGCCGTTGTGAATATGAAGCCAACCGGTTCATTCATTCTTTTATTTCGATCAATGAGAATATTGTTCAGATATTCCTTTCTTCCAAACCGTCATCATCATGTCTTTGGCCTGCGAAAACTGCGGGCACAAATCGAACGAAGTCAAAAGTGGCGGAGCGACTCGGGACCACGGCTGCCGTCTCAGTGTTCGCGTGGAGAATGTGGGTAATTCATGTGATAATTTCAACTTTATGCTTCAGGTCTATTATAAAATCAGAAAAACTCTTGTGATTTTACAACGAACAAAAACCAAATTGACAGGAAGATGTTGCAAAGCATTATTTAAAAGCAATTGACGACTTATTTTGATTAAATAAATCTCAGTCTGGCAAAAAAAAACATGAATGAGAAAAAGAATATTAAAAAATACTTTTTAACTTCATTTTTTCGTTCCCATTTTTCAATAGCTCAAAAACATAATTGAGAAGGAAAAAAATTGAACTTTTGGGAATTTCCCGAAACTTTGTTTTGTTTGTTTATTGCATCTTCAATGTAAGAATACATGTGCAATCGACTTTCATTGATTTGACTGTGTTTAAACGGCGGCAGGAGCTGTGGCTTAGGCAGAGAAGTTGTGAATTTTGCTCGTAGAACATCAGATACAAGAGAGGTCGTAGGAAGAGTTACGGTGCCGGCTTTCCAAAGGCCGATGGCAGAGATTGAGCCTTTTCGCTGCATGCAGCTCCCAATTTTATCTACCCCGGAGGGATGAAAGGCTTGGTCGACCTCGGGGGGACTCGAACCCACGACCTTGCGGACGTTAGAAATGAGTTATGCCAGCTGAGCTATGCCGCCCCCTAAGCCTAAGCCTAATCGATTTCTGCTCGCCTGTCCCTAAATAGGGCGCAGGCCAAGGCCTAACTCGCCTGCCTAAGCCCGAAACTTTAAAAATATAAATTTCCACAAAATTTCAAGGAAAATCAATTTATTTTTCATTGTTTTCGAAACTTACTGGTTTGAGGTTATCTTTTTGTGTTTTATTTTGAATTCCACCATTTTCAGTGCCATCATAATATTTTTAGGAGCTTGACCTTGCTAGAGACGTTCTGAAATCAGACACTTGCTCTCTAGAAATCCCAGAACTCGAGCTTCAGGTGAAACTTTTTTCCAGAAAAACGAACAAAAGTTGTTTTTCACAGGTAGGGCAGGGCGCCTTGTGTAGTCGGTTTACAACAGTCGAAGGACTTCTCACTGCCACAAAAGACCAACTCGATGTGGTTGGTTCTTTCAAGTTTTTTTTAGAGGAATAAAAATAAATCCCTAGCAATCGGCTTTCTTCATGGGCGACAGCGCGAAAACCGACGAGAAAAACGTGGTTCAAGAGTTTCTGACGAAAATCGACGACATTATTGCGTTGAGAACTCCCGCCACGATTGTTCTGGATGACCCGGCCGGAAATAGTTACATTCAGGTTCGGAAAAAAATCCTGAATCTTTTCGCAAATCAAGTTCCAGAGTTTATCGGCACCTTTGGAAGATGAGCGATTGAAAAAAGAATTTTACGTGAGGTCCTTCGATCAGAACGAGGAGCTTGGTTTGAACGATATGAAGGTACGTTTTAGAAAGAAATATTGCAGAAAAAATGCCTTCACTTTTTTTTGCGAAAACATATCCACGGAAACCAGCTAAAAACGCATCAATAGTTAAAAGTTAGCCATGGACAGACTTAGTAAAAAAAAAAATCAAATTGAAGCTGATCAGAATAGCTGAAAACACCTTTGACAAAAATTCAAAAGTTAAAAAACGTACCAAGTTTTGTAGAAAGTTTCTAAAAATACTGTAGCACTAGAAACCCTCAGATGAATATTCAATAACTACTTATTTTTATTATATTATATCTCGGCCTTTTAAGGCTACTTTTTTTACGTGCATAGCTATCGTTTATTTTCGTCCACTTTCTGCCTAACATAGATTTTCAGTCGCCTGAAAAACTTGGAACGGTTTTAGGTGGAGAATTATGGAGAGTTGGATACGTTGGCAGAAGAAGAATCAGAAGAGACGAATGAGCAATAAATGTGGTAATTGTTGTTGTTTCTGTTGTTTCCTCGTTATTAACCCCGTTGATGTTTTTTTTTTTTTGAAGATTTTTACGTTTATTTCAAGGTTTTTTTTCGAACAAAAAAGGAGACCCGAAAGTGAGCGTTTTTTGGAAGATGTAGGAATGGTAGATGGATTGGGCAAAGTGACAACGTTGATTATGGTATGTAGCTCAGGATTTTGAGGGAATGGAGTTTGAACCGTAGTTTTTTTCTTCGTGGATCGTACAGATTGTTATGACTTGAAAAAGATCAGGAAGTTCTAAGATCCTCGGCGATCTATCAATGTGTCTAAATCTTGAGCGACTTTTTCTACTCGATCAGCGACGGCGGAAACTTCTTCGGTTTCGGGGTGTTCTTTTTCTTTCTCAATAGTTATTGGTTTCTGGTCTATCTTCTTGGAATCGTCCTCGTCGATGAGTTTCAACCCTTTGGCCCAGATGAAGACCCAAATGTCGGAAAGCAAAGAGAATAGGCGCAAGCAACCGTAGATGATGTGTAGTCTGAAGACTCATTTTTTTCCGAGCCATTGTCGGTAAAAGACTCACCTAACTCGAAGCTCGTCAGTGTCGTAGATGGAGCATGAGCCTTTCTTGTCACAGGACGTCTGCCACATCAGGCAACTCATGTCGAAGATCTTACCCCACAGGATGGGCGAAGGAAGCGTGGCTGTAAAATAATTTTTATAGACAAAGGTTTGAATCATTTACCAAATAAACTGACGAGGAAACCATTGAAACCCAAGGAGATACTTCGGTGCTCTGGCGGAACTGCTCTGAAAACATCCAAGTTGACTTAAATTCTGAAGAGAGTAACCTCAGTACGATGAGCATTCCTGGAACCACGGACAGACCTCCGAAAACTGCTGTCATGGCTTGGTTCATGAAGAATCGGTTGAACCGCTCCTCACACTCTTCTGAACTTTGATAATAGCTTTGATATCCAATTAGTTACACGAACCAATTCGACAGAATGTGCGACTGACTTCTTGAATTCCGTGGTTGGCGCACTCGCAGTTTTCAAAAATCTGGAAACTTACGTGAAATTTCGAAGTTTTAGTTTTAAGACTCGCCAGTGTTTCACTCGGATTGTTGGTATTATCGAAAATGCTGTAATTCTTCCAACCCATTGGACAGCCGGCGTGGCACGGAGAATAGAAGACGTCGCCTCTGAAAATTCCTTGTTTCAAGGATATTTTTTCTACTTCACTAACGCCTTGTTGCAAACTGGGTAGAACGGCATTCCTTCACACCCGCAGTCATCTCGGCAAGTGTCGAACGTGAAGTTTTTGGCGCTAAATTGACAAACTTTTGTTTTTTCATCAGTTTAGGATGTCTCACATGGCCTGGTCTCCCATCAGTCCTATGACAGATTTGCAGCCAACCGTTGAGTTTACAAAAGACAAAGACGCGGCAACCAAACTGCAAATAGCGACCCAGCCGGCTGCTTTTCTTCCTGATAGCAAACTTGATTTATAGAATCAGAAAAAAAAGAACCTTCCAATCGGAACTTTTTCATCGAGATACTTCCCAGGATCACGCCAATGGCAAATCCAACGATTCCAGTTGAAGCTGAATGCGAAGACTTCTTACATGTCAGTTTTTTTATCCAGTTCCTTTGGAAAGAAAAGCTACGATATGATCGTCCGAGCCCAAATTTCGAATTAATCGGAGGGTCTTTTTAGTTAAATGGTAAAGTTCCATGAAACACATGCCCATACTTTCTCAATGAAAACATCATTTTTTTCGAAATACCTAGGTATCGTTGAATCCTGAACTGCGGTACGCCGAATTGCAGTTCCAAGTATTTTCCGAGGAATACAAAGTATCTGAAGAAAGTTCAATATTGAAACTTGAATCAAAACGGCTGATTCCTACCCCTTGAAGGCGAGGACGTCAACAATCCGGCCAAGCATGGCTCCGATGAAAATTTTGTTGCGGAACAGCTCGCTGACCGTAGTGAAAAACTCTGTTTTATTGGTTTATCGATAGTTTCTCTGAGCAATTCGAGTACCTGTTGCCTTTTCTCCAGCGCCAACCGGCATATGGACCTTTCCATCGGAAGTTTTGCGGACATGTCGATCCACGAGATTCAATCTTTGAGGCCTTTTCACCACAACTTCTCCGTTATCCAGGAGCTTCTCTTCGGCTCCTTCTTTTCCAAGATCCAGATCATCCGAGGGGAAGAAGTAGAGCGCCAAAGAAGGTCCGAACAGTAAAGCTCTGAAATAGTTCTTTTCGTTGGACTTTTTTTTGAGTCTTCTACCCGAAAATGAGGAATCCCAGCCACCAGCAGCCAATCCACATTGGATCAAGGGGAGTAAGACCATGAGGAGCTCAAAAAATTTGTATTTTAATCAAAAAATGGGCTATTACGATTGAAATCGTAGTAGATTTTGTTGAGTTGACCGCCGACCAAGAGACCAATGACTGGACCGAGAATTTTGACAAAGAACATGAAAGCTGGAAACTTCTTTGATATTTTGATAAGAAGGTTTATATTACAGAAGTAAAGGGGGAGATTCTTTCTCTTGACGTTGTCGTCCATCAGTGGAAGGCCCAGGGAAAACGGCATGGTTCTATAACATCAACAAGGTTTCTAACGACCAGAAATAATCTTAAATTTTCCTTCCTCGTACATTAATTTTAACGGAACGCAAACGCTTCAGTTATCAACTTCCAAGATTTTCTCAAGATAAAAAATACTTTTTTCAAAGATTTGACTTCTTGAACAAGATAACTGTAGACAGTGTAGATAGCAGATAATTTGAGAATTCTCGAGCAGATAATTTGAGAATTGTTGGATTTTCAGAAGAAAAGATCTCAGAATGAGCTATGATCTTCTTCAATCTAGCCTTGAGAGGACCATAAGTTCAAATCCCAACCGGCCAACTCCAAGAACAAGAAGGCCTCCGAAAATCATCATGAATGGACCCAAAGAAGACTGGTCCCTTTTGCATTCGTCCGCTTTGTGCTCAAATATTATTGATAGCTCGAGTTCTTCAGAAGGAAAACTAACATCAGATCGAATGGTGTTGAGAATGGAGTGACAGAACGCGTAGGGCAAGCTCGTGAGTAATCTCACATGAGAAACGTCAAGCTCACTAACGACGTTCCTTTGACCCATGTAGTACTGAGAGATACATTATTTCTGTATTTTTCAACATTTTAGAACCTCCAGCTTTTGGCAAATATCCGATCCTTTGTTGGAGTGACAATAAGAAATGTACTTTTTCAACAGGTCATGGCGTTCGTCTCCTTCCTAAACTTCCTTCTATTTCCTACTTTCGGGAGTTCCATAACTCACATAGTTTGAGACAACCCGATTCTGCGGATCAATTGTTGAATGGACTTCTTCAAGCCAGAGGGAGTCGTTAGCACTTCCGATCAAGTCACTCAAAAGCAATGAACAATATTTGAAAAAAAAAAGATATTTTGAATGAAAAAATTATTTCTATATAAAGTTTAGCGTTTATTCACTTTTCACAGTAATTTTGTAACTGTTGAATCATGGAATGTTTGAAGAGATGTTTGTAACACTCAATTATATAAATTTTCATGAACTCTGGAATAGATTTTGAAACTAAATTTTGAATTGAGTGTGTAACTCAGTAGGAACTTTATGATCGCCCTTGGAATGGGTCCAAGCGTCGCGTTTCGAATAATTTAAATTAGCTAACTTCTTCCCAAATCACTAAATAATTCATTGAAGTTTGAAAATCCAAAAAAAGAGTTTCTTTCTTAATCTTGATTTTAGTTCTAAAAAAAACTAATCGAGGAGTTTTCAAATAAATTAGACTCGAAGTTTCCTATTAAAAAAAATCAAGGGTTTTTAAATAATTTGCGAATTCAAAGCTGCAGTTTTTAATTTTTCTCACCGATTGATTTGATGCACAAGCGTGGGCGGTATATAGGATGAGTTGACGTGGAATTTCTCCACGGGAAACAGGAAATTGCTGCTGCTGATCATGAAGTTGGCGATGGAGATCAAAATACAGCCAGCGCCGATCCAACGGGCTCTGTTGCCCTGGAAGTTTTATCGAAAAATCGAATAGAAATAAAAGTGATTAACCTTTCCTCCAAAATAACTTGTGAAGATGACGACAGGAATGTAGGCGAAATCTCCAGCAGAAACCATGGTTCCGCTGAGTTTTGAAGGGATTTGGAACTGCTTCTCGATGAACACGACCGCACTAGGAATTTGAAAATTTTGACACCAATTTTAATTTTTTCGATGTATTTGAATAAATTGTCTCATGATTGACGCAAAAGTGAGTTTTCAGGCAATTCTATTTTCAAAAACATATTCTTCTCCTCAATTATAATTTCAATGAAAGTTACAAATAACGTCCTTTTCACAACAATCGAATTAAAGTTCTCTCTTCATTATTTTTCATTTCACCAAAACATTCAAAAATAATGTCCCTTTCTCTTTGATTTCTTATCTTTCGCGTCGCTTCCCGTTATTCTCTCTTCTGACACTTTAGACAGTCAAAATGTCACTTAGAAAAGCTCGCCGAAAACGTTTTGTAGCCGATTATTCAACTTTTTTCCTCATTTTTCTGTGTCTGTCTTTCAAAAATATGACTAGACTCAAAGGCTTATTCTTATCTTATTGTCAAGTAAAAATTTGCGTTCCAAAGCGATAGTGAGGAACTTTGTATCGACACATACACACTCCCACAACGTTTTGGGACGGCTTTGTTTGTCCAATAAGTTGCATATTGCCACTAAATATCGACCACAGATGAAGAGTAACGCCAAATTTCAGTAGGCGTTCAAAAATATGTTATGAAAGACATTGCAAGAAACTATAGTTCACAGAATAATACCAGCAATTTCAGTAAAGCGAAACCCGAAAAAATTTTTGAATGTAATATTAATATTATTGATAAGCATGAACTTCACGAAGTTTGCATCTCGGTTGTCAGATTAGAAAAAATTGAACAGATTGTGATTCTCCATAGAGTTTATTTTAGATTTTAAATTTAAAACTCACAACTTTCACTTTTATTTTATCAAATTCGTTTTTATTTCGCTCACCTGGTCATGTAGAAGCCTCCTATGGACTCGAGAAAGTAAACCGTACCAAAGACGATGAAAAATAATGTAACCTGAATATTTTGCCTTTATAAAAGCCGCAATTCAATAAATAAAAAATACCTTGCTAACCATTGTGACGGATGGTAGAAATTACCCGCACCCTGAATAGTATCAAAGTTTTGCGGAAGTTTAAGAGAGAAAAGATAAAAATCAAGAAAATCGAGGGGCCGTTTTCAAAAAAAAAATTTGAAAAATCTGATTTTTCGGAAGATTGAGGGTCACAATCTGGGTTTAGATTGCCATCATTCTGATAGCTCACTTCAGGGCTTAATGCGCAATGGCTGCGAACTGTTAAGGTGTCCGACCATGAAACGACTTGCGCAAGCAGGCATAGCCGATGTTTTTTAATTTTAGGGACTCCAACTAGCGCATAGAAAGTATTCAAATCAAAGTTTGAATTTTTGAAGAGCAAAAAAAAACGAAAACCAATAAGAAAGAAATAATTCTTTTCGGACGGCCTCGATCCGAGAGGGTTTTTAACGTCAAGAACTGTAACTTATCAGTTGATAAAACCAGTTGGAGGTGAGAACCGTTTCTCGACACGCTCGTTGGTAATAAATAATGGTTTTTTCAATTGCCTAGGTGGCTGGAGAAACTCAGGTGACGGCGTTGTAAAGGAAAGGAAGTGAGAATTGTTCGGGAAGAGAAGAGTCGGCATGAGCCCCAAAGAAGGAGAGTGACGATCGGTCGGCCTCGGGAATCTTATCATTTTCCGCGTCGTTCCGACAGCCCGCCCTACAAGTTTGTCCCACGGGCTCTAATCCCAGCCTTTCTTCTGGTCTTATCTTATCTGGGAATCCTTAAAAACTTCCTCAAGGATGTTTTTGAAAATTTTCTGAGTGTCAGTTTTTTTTTGAGTTGTAGATTTTCTGGTCTTGATCATCTGCTTACTCGAACCCAGGATGCTTTGAGGTGCGTTTATTTCTAGAACAACTTTTAAATTCTTTGAATATGAAAGAAATGTCCAACTGGATAATCGCTCGCTTTTTTTTCATCAGAATTCAGCGTTTCTTTCCCAATTAGAGGTCATTATAACTTTTTCAGCGCTACAGAATGAGATTTTTTGGGTTCAGCAACTGAAATTTTTATTTATTAGCGAAATATTCTCAGAAGCGGCAGATAATAAATAATCATAACTCTCGATTCTCTCGAAAGCGGAAACAATTTATCTTTAAGTCTGAGAACTTCAACAATAAGATCCCTTTAAGTTTTAATATTTTCCTGATTCAAATAATAAAGGCAACGAAGTTAACGTGGATCTTTTATTTTCTTGGTTGTGAAGAAAGTTTAATATTCCTTTGGATAACTATTCTATCATTAACGTAATAGTTAGTCAAAGACGGGTTGACTTCTTCTCTAGACAGAGAAAAAAATAATTCTGACAAATTATTTCAAGAGAACTAAAAACAGCCATCGATGAAAAACAACAGAACAGAAAAAGAATTAGTGAAAATAAAAGTGACTTCTTGGCCAAAAAATATAATATTTACTTGAAAAATCAAATTCCTAGAGGATATAATGAATTAAAATGAGTCAGTCGGGAATAAAGTGCAACTAGGGGAAAGAAAGAAGAAAAAAACAAGCACAGCTGTGGGAAAACTCGTCCCTCCAGTGCAAATACTTTGTTTTCCGTCGTCGATTCCATGCTGGCCTCAGGTCATTTTCAGTATTCCGCGAGCACAAAAATCATTTATTTTCGTTTCAAACGAGAAAAAGGACACAAAGACAATGATATATGATCCAAAAATCAAATATTATTGACGGAAACGACGTAGACATCTCGTCGGTGTCGAAACTAACGGAAAATCGCACGATAAATGTAGCGAAACCAGATAAAAGCCCAGTGATTATCACTGTGTTTGTGGAGCACAAATCAAAAAATATGCCTTATCGAATAATAACTTTATGTTTCGTTACGCTTTCGTGCTCATTTGACGACTTTAGGAGTGAAAAGATAAACGGCTATTAAATTTCGAAAATATAGGGGGATATCCAGGGCGAAGTTGAAGTTTCTTTAAAGTACCCGGAGAGTGTTTAAAATAGCGGAAATTATCCTAGGACTACTCAAAAGGGACGTTTATAATATACTCAGAAGTTTATTTACAAAAATTCTACTTTGTTTAAGACGAAAATTAAAGAAAAAAAGAAAAATTTTTTTCGGCTTTTTGTCTAACTTCTCAGTTCCCCGCTAACTTGCCTGATAATTTTTTTGATCAAGAGTTTTTTTGAATATAAAGAATAGAATAATTTTACAATCTGTGATACACTTTTTCAAAATTAAGTTTTAACCCTTTGAGTTTTTTTTTTCATAAGACCAATTGCTTGCGAAAACATAATTAGAAGAGGGAAATCCGGTTCGAAGTTATAAAAATGTTTCGAAAGGAAGTCGACTCACCAGAATATAAAACAACACAAGTCTAACAAGTATTTCGAAGAGGACATTTGATGTGGCCGGTCTCCAGCAGAATGCACAGCATGCAGAACCCGGCGTAGGAGAAGATCATCAGAAGGCCGAACAATTTGTCCATTCTCCATCGGGACAAGGCGATGCAGGCCAGAAGGACGATCAGCATGGCGAAGAGCAGCCCCAGCGAGCAGGCCAGACCGTTCGACATCACCGATACTGCAATAACTTTCGGTTTTTTTCATATTTCGAAACAGAAGCAAACTGTTTTGAACTGGCCCAGGCTTGAAAAGTGAGAGGCCAAAGTGGATGAGCCATGGGATCGGAAGTCTGGATGATCAATATCAAGTAGAGCATAAAAGTGGAATTTGTACCCGACACAAACGTCGAAAAGATTGCTGCCAATGGAACTCGAGACGGCCATGTCGCCGAGGCCTTTTCTCGCGACGATCACACTGTAACAGTTACCAAAGTTATCTTTCTGTGTTTATTGAAACCGTAAGTGGATACTGTTTTCTGTTTCACATTTTTTGAAATTTTGATCTTTTTTGCATGTTATAAAAAAGTATCACTTTTGGAAAACAATATCAACTTTTTCATCAGCACTGCATAAATGTCCCACTGATAAATTTCTAGTTCAGTATTTTTTCAGATAAAAAACCTTGTTATTAGATCGGGAATGCTCGTTCCAGCTGCCAGAATCGTCAACCCCATTACCTAAATTTGAAGCAATTACAAAGTGGGAAACATCGAAAATACCTCAGTAGGAATACCAAAAGTCTCGCCGATGGTATTGGCCCACCAGACCATGAGATATGAAAAAAGCGCGATCCATAATATTGAACCGACGAAAGAGAGGACGAACCACTTTCTTCGGTTCTGGAAAAGGAAAAATTAAATTCGGAAAATAGAGGATAATTACCAAATTGCGGACATCTGGTAGAGTTAACCATAGTGGAAAAACTATGGGAGCCAACAATAAAAAGACAAATCTTTTTCGATTTGTATCAGGCCAGGAAAGATCTAGAGGCTGTTCGGCGCTTGATGAGGTTGTTGAAAGCTAAACTTTCGAATTTTGGAGAGGAAAGGAGAATAATCAACGAACATTATCGATGGCTATGGGCGGTATGGAGACTCCGTTCTCAGTATTTCCTTTAGGCCTATTCATCTCGATGTTCTGAGTAATCAAACATTTGTCAGTGAAGAAAAACAAGGGTAAGCGCTGTTCTGAAGCTTTTTTCCAGTTGCGAGACGGTACCAACATTTTTCCATTTGAAAAGAAATTACGTTAATTTTTTATTGATTTAAAATTTTTTCGAATTTAATCACAACAAACTTTCAGTAAGTCTACAAAATGGCTGCAAAGTTAAACGACCGCATTTCAGCGCAACTCAGAGTTTGAAAACTAAACGCGGTATTGAAAACCAGGCTTGTTATGTTTTTTTTCTAACAAATTTTCAACTATTTCATTCATTTTTTTTGTTTTTAATTCAATGATATCAGATAAACTCACGACAACAGGCGTCAAAGTGGTTGTTCCATTCCTCGTGTCGCCTTTCTTCGAATCTCTCCCGTTCGGCCGTCCATTCTCATGTATCTTAGCTCCATCGACAACGCCACTTACCGTCGGCACGTTATCTGAAGATGCCTTTCCTCGATTTCGCAATCATTCTCCAAACTCGTGCGAATGAAGATTCTGCTGGTGTTGGATTCTGTAGTGGCCGGTCTGACGTGGATAGTCTTCGCATGGACGGAATTACGTCTTCTTCGACGTTCACTCCGTGCAGAGGACGTTTGAGAGGACGAGCCTAGGCATAGAAATCATGAACCTCAGGACCTCAACAGACAAGATAACATTTTTTCGAGACTTAGTTTCTTTTTCTTTGAAAAATGCTCACCATCTTCATCTTCTGATCCAATCGCCATTTGAGCGATTCCTCGGCGCACATCATTACCTAAATATAAAAAAACAACTTGAAAAAAGTTTTATTGGTGCTGCCTTGAAACTTTCAAGCAAAAAAAAAATGGAACTGGAAACCGTTTTTTTTTTTTCGAAAAGGGTTATATTTTATTGTTTCAAACTTAAAAAACGGAACTTTTTTTTAAATATTTTCAGGCGAAAACTACCGATAAAGCTTTGAACTTAAAACGTCAAATTTTGCCTGAAATCCTCTAAAAAGTTGCGCAGTCACAGCTATCTGCTGTCAAATATCCGTTTATTTTATTTTTCTCTTCAAGTTTAAACCGGAACAATCAGGTTCGAAAATTATAGAAATAAGTTGATGAAGCTCTTCATTATTGTTTTTCAAGCCACTTTTCAGGTTCAAATTGAATCAGAAAAACGAGATTGACCTCCATGAATGAACGGGATTGATCTGCGAGGTTCACGGTTCGATCCTAGAACGCTTCGAGGGGTTCGACCTATGCTTTGAGCTCTACTCGCCTGAAAAGGTAATCTAATGGTCGAGAATAGTGTTGTATCCTTTCATTCAACTTGAAAAAAAGTCCAAACCTCCTCTTTGCCGATGCCGAAGCGCCGCAGAAGGAACTCCTTGACGCGATATTCCAGGTACCCGTTGAACTTCATGAAAACACCGTAAACCATGTAAATCGAGAACATGATGAGCGCCTGAAGAGTGTTCATAAATACATGTTCAGACATCGTGAATATTCGAGAAGATGGATGACAAGGATAAATGGGAGTTCGTATGACTTCTTGGGGCTCACCTCGTACCAAACAATGTACTCGTCGTAGAAAAACAGGAGAAGAAGCAGTAAGGAGAACGTGTAGAAGGACATGTCTCTGAGGTATGATGAAGACTTGATTATTCTGAAGGATCAGACAAGAAAACCGAAAAAGAGGCCACCAGGTGATGTGAAGGACCTGACGGGAGAACAGCGTGCAGAACGCCAAAACGCAAAGAATGTTGAAAGTTGCCGAGCCTGGAAGATTGAATTTCCGATTTCCAGAACAATTCTGAAGACTCACCAACGATAGTGCCGACTCCGACATTGTCCTGAGCTACAAAGACACCGAATAAAGAGGTGAAAAACTCGGGAGCCGAGCCGCCGGCTGCCATGAAAGTCGCACCGGCCACGTCGTCGGATATTGACAACTACAAAGATTTGGCTAATATATTCTTCTTCTTTTTTTTCCGAAGAAATTTTCTGAAATGCATTTTAGTCTCTTCAAAAATACCCGCTAGATTTTTTAAAGGCGCATGGGCAGTTATCATAGAAGTTTCAAAGCGAAGAGCTGTTTTCTGTTTCGCTTTTGGTTAAGCAAGACTCCGTGCTTTCAAACACTGCTTTTAAACAAACAAATGCTCTCAAAACTCTAGCGAGAATTTTTAAGCAAACTATAATTTTCTTTTTTTCTGGAATGAAGTTTTAAAGGGAGGTCGATGAAAAAACTTCCAGTAACGATCCAATCTATGACCTACCGAACTGATGTGAAAATCTAAAAGTTTTCTTCATTTTCCCATCGTAAATATCTGTCAAATAGTTTCTTTTTCGATATCTTACATGATATGATTTTTTTTATCATTATATAACAATAAAATCATTGGCTATTATGAAATTACTCTTTGTCTTTTTTTTTGAGCCTCAAAATGCTCAAAGAAGAGAAATACTGACAACGTCTGTGAGAACAGTGAGGGAAGGGACGAAGAACTCGTCGCAGACGATGGCGAGGGCCACGAACATGTAGATGAGGCCGGCGACGTGGAGCAGTACAGCGCCGCGTCTTCTTTGCTCCATCGTGAAGAGGTCTTGCGGGAACTGGGACGATCCATTCGAAGCTGAAACTTTTCAGATTACTTTCCAAAAAACTTGATTAGCTGACGAGAAAGACGAGGTCGACAGTCGTCAAACTCGTTGGAGACTCCTCGCGGCGACCTTCTTTTGACGTGAAGTTGAGCATTTCCTTTATGACTCTGGTTTTAGAAAGAAACTCCGAGATTTCATAAACCTGATCCGGCGAAAAGAACAAAGAAAAAGGATCCGACGACAGCGAAGACCAGGACTGTGGAGACGGCGATACGTCGACGAAGACTCCGTCGTTCGGCTGACATCTTGGCCATTTCATGGCATTCAGTTCTGGAATCGAGTGAGATTCGAGTGAGGTTCATTTGAAAATTCACAAAAAAGGCTGCCAAGAACATCTGAAGTTGTTTGGAGGTGATAAGAAGAAGTTTTAGCCCTCTGGCGGGGTTTCATCGATCCGGTGAATGAATTTTGCATCATAACGCGATTGCCTCGTCTTCCAGGTGACGCTCCCCTTTTTCGGCCACTTCCTTGATGTCTGCCAGGTCGAAATGAAAGCTCAGCGGAGGCGGTAGAACAAAAAAGAGTGAATATCAAGTATTATCCAAACTATTTCAGAAGATATTTACGAAGGGAGTTCGGCGCCTTTCTCTGTGCCCAATATAGTAGAATTCTCTTGGAAAAACTTCTCAATGCGTTGATTGAGTTGAATTTTTCGTAGTTACTATTTTTAAAGAATAATAACTGAATGAGTCTTCCAGAAAAAAATCGCAAGAATCCCTGTTTTTTTACTATCAGAATGTAAATAAAAAAAGATTCCGCAAAATGAATCTTATCAAAAACGCTCTAATGAAACTGAGACAAACGCGACTTCCAACAGAAATTTTCACATGAGTTTCAAAATACCTATTTCCTTTAGTTCAGAAAATGAGAAATATGGACTTTTTTATTTCAGTTGAAGAGACTCAGGTAGAACCTTTTGGACGAATATGTGAGAAATTATTGAAAATCGAGGAAATTCTAACTGCAAAAACTACTTGAAATGTAATCGAATCCAGAGGAAATTTCAAGAATATTACTAAAGTTCTCAATATCATCTCCAAACTCCTTTCCTCAAGGTAAGAATCCAAAAACGCCCGAAAAGGTATAAGGCGATAAAATGTTTGAGCGATTCATCAAACTGAAGGGAGCCCAAAAAATATTTGCGAGCCATGACTCCGGATATCTCGTTTCCGGCTTTTTCCTTCGCGCATCTTTGAGGAATCATTGGGAGTTCGGAGAATCATGAATATTGGACCTGACGGAAGTCTAAAAACTAAAAAGAGTCTCCGAAAAAAATTGGCAACGAAAGGAAAGGACCAGAAGATCAGGACCTTCAATTGATGTTTCTTTTACTTTTTTCCTGTTTTTGTACCAATCAAACCAGGAATTTCAAGTTGATCTCTTTTTTGCAGGCACGAAAAGCTCTGTGATCTTCTCTGGGAGGGAAACGCATTAACGCAATTGCTGAACACAACGGGTCGAATTTCTGTTGCCGCCGAGGCCAAATGTGATGTTAGTTTTAGCAACTTTCGCTCATTACTGATATCTCTGAACGAGTTCCGACCAAGTACTGAAAATCTTCCGTTGCTGCAAAGGATAATGAGACAAGACACGCTGCAACGGATTCGAAACGGCTCCGCCAATGAAGACTTGTCGCCTTATATCATTGACCTCAGGGTGAGCCGAGTTTCGAATGACCTTATTGATTTCTTCATACTTCTCAACCTTTCATCTGTCTTCTCATCATCTTAAGTTCTTATCTGATAGTTCATTACTCAAGTGAAAGTCGAAATAAAAAATCTTAGGCAATGAATTCTTTTCAGTCATCTCTTTGAACATCAACAACAGCTGTGTGTTAAAAAAAACTTTAGGGATAAGTTTATCCCTTTTTAAAATATCGCGATTTCATTGATATTTGTTATTTTTTAGAGCCCACCAGTTCGAAAAATCTGGGAGACTGACCGGATCGAGACGCGAAGAGCAGCATCTCCAGCTCCTCCGAAAAAGCCATACTCCCTCTTCGCCAAATGCTTCGCCGAGTTCATCGGCGTTCTTTCCTTCGTTTTCGCTGGTTGGCTTGAAAACTTCCGAACAACTGATCAGAAAGACGTTCAGGAACCATGCAAGCTAATGTTTACGTAGCTCGATCCACGGACGGACTCACTCACGCTGCGTTGAACGCCGGTTTTGCTTTGTTCGTCTTGGGAACGGTTTTTGGGCATATAAGGTAGGGACTGCAAACCAGGTTTCTTAGATTCCAATGTGCTCCACAATTTTTTTTCGTTCAAATTTAAGGGTTTTTCAGTGAAATGGTCAACGTTTCATTTGGTTTGGAAGCTTTTTGAATGGAGCAATACATTCTAAAACACGACTTAAAATGTCTAGCTTGCCTGCACTCTCTTTTCCATTGCTTGAAAAGACTGAGGAAAAGAAAAAAGCCCGTGAATGGGAGGAGAGACAACTGAGTCTATTCCAAGTCATGACGATTTCCCCCGTGCTTCCTTTCCAAAAAAAAGACAATATCTACCTTTTCTACTTCAGTGGAGCGCATTTCAATCCGTCAGTTTCCTGGGCAGTCGCTCTAACAGGCAAACTACCCATCGCACATCTTCCTCTCTATATCGCTTCGCAACTTCTCGGAGGCTTCTGCGGAGCTGTTCTTTCTGCAGTCAGTTGAATTTGCAGCAAATCGAGCCAAACCTCTTTTCTGCGGGTCCTACAACGAAAGCGGCCATTCGCGGTTACTGTAGATGCCAGTCAAATACCGGCGAATGTCCGTTCCACAGTACAGCTTCAGCGCCACTACGACGTTCTGACCAACTCGACGCATGTGACGGTTTGAAGTTGAAAAAGAAAGAAAGACAGGAAAATTTGAGAAAACGAAATTAAAAGAAAAATTTATACTCAAAATAAAATAAAGCAGTTTAACTACATATTTAATATTTTTGAAAAAAATATTAATTTCTTATTATTTCGAAGCTTTTTCTTGTGAACCTCACTGATTTATTCATCAATTTATCTCTTACAAGATTCGAGACTCAAAATACAGCGATTATTCTGGAACAAATTGCAAAAAAGAAAATTGTGGAATGAAATTTAAATGAAAACTTCAAAAAGATTAGTTTCCCTTTAACTTGAAATTCCAGACAGAAATCATCAAGTCTCAACTTGTGGCCACTGGTTGTGGAGCGACGATTCTGAGCTCAGATCATCAATGGTGGGAGGTTTCGCTACATTTTCTTTCCTTTTCCAGAACCAAGACACTTCAGGGCCTTATAGCCGAAACTATAGCCACTTTCCTTCTGGTCAATGTTGTTCTAATGGTAGCCGTTGACACAGACACGGTTTGACGCATTGAAAATCGTTTTCGATCCATTTTCTATTTTCAGATTCTAGTGGCCCCGCTGGCCATCGCACTGATGGCTTCTGTAGACGTTTTCGCAATGTCAGTAAAAACAAGCAGTTTCTAAAAAAATTATTTGGACTTTTAAAACAAGAAAAAAAATTATACTTTTTGTATACTTTACTTGACATGGAAGGTCATTTTTGCGTAGGAATTTAGATCCTTTTGAAAACTTTCCTCGAGAGGAAAAAAGTTGGAGTCTAATTTGAATCATATCATTAACTATATGCCAAAAATTTCATTTATTAGCTAGTCTTCTCAGAGGCGTCGAGAAACCTGAAATATAAAAATATATCGCGCGTCGAGATTTTAGAACCCCTTGAACCTCGCAAAGTAGAAGGAGGTCGTAAAAAACATAAAATATATTAGAACTTTAATGCGATATTTCACCAAAAGCCTTCAAAATTTAATAGTGTAATTATGAAAAAAGTTCTACTTCTCACGCCTAAACTCTTCCAGAAAATATTGGATCATGAAATCCAAATTTTGAACTATTTATAGTCATGTAGCAAATGAGAGTAGAGTACCTAAAAGAAAAAAAAAATTAAAAGCGCGCAGAGACACAGCGGAATGTCGTTCCGTGAAATTTCAAGTCGTGGCACACAGACTATATAACTAGAACTTCAGAGCATCAATAACTGGAGCGTCGATGAATCCGGCGAGATCGTTTAGCTCCAACATCGTGGCCGAGATTTTCGTGGCACACGACGAACTTCCGCCTGGATTCTGGGGACATCACTACATTTACTGGGCCGGTCCATTCTTAGGAGCAACGATTGCCGTAGGCGTTTACAGGTGAATTCCAAATTTTTATAAGAAAAACGAAAGGACCTTTATTTGAAAAAAAAGAACACGTATACATTTTTATTTACAGGTTATTTGAAGCACGCGAGGTTAGGCTGGTGCCGTGAATATGACTTCGGGAATTCAAGACGATTATTTCAACGGATGACCTTTATGTGAAGTTTTTGATTTTTAAAGAAATAAACGTTTCGCGATACATCTCTACTCTATACAACTGAAAATACAAAGACGTTTGGGGAAAATAAACTCGAAACCAAGGCTAAATTCCTCATGTCTGCGATGGGAGCCTACGCAAGGACGCGGAAATCGCGAGCGAAGAAGACCCTGAAAGAGAGAACACGTCACGGACCGCCTCATTGGCTCAGTGGCAGAGCGTCTGTCTAGTAAACAGAAGGTCGCTGGTTCGATTCCAGCATGAGGCACAAGCTTTTTTGTCTCGCTTTGTTGATATTTTGGAGGTTCTTTTTTGAGTTTTCGGAAGGAAAACAGACCTGTATACTCCAGCAGCAAGGAAGGCACCCAAAGCAGGACCAATGTAGTAGATCCAGTGGTAGGACCAGAAAGCAGGCACCTGATCCAGGTGATGAGGGCTCAGGAAAAGTTGGCCGATGACGTTGGGGCCGAAAGATCGTGCCGGGTTCATTGAGGCTCCAGACAAGCTTCCGCTGCACATTAACCAAATTTAAAAGGCAGAATTCAAACTTCGAATACCGTTTATATCACAAGTTCAACTATTTTAGCGAAGTTAGTTTAAATCTCAACAGTGTTTACGTTTTACTCAATTATTATCATTTTTTCGGGCAATTTGCAAAACTTTGGAAGCTGTTATTTCCTCTTACATTTTCGATGAAAAACTTCGGCCTAATAAAATTGGTATGTTTTTCACTCTTACAAATTTTCCGTCTACCACGTGTTCATTGAACTTGAAACCTGCTTTCTCACACTTAAGAGTGAAAAAAGATCAAAAGCTCACGCGGCCAAGATGTCGATGATGATGGAAAAGCCGATGGCGAGCGGGGCCAGGACATTTTTGTCCGTATCAACGGCAGTCATGAGGACCGTCTGCACCAAGATATACGTCGTCATGACTTCGGCCGTCAAACCCTGAACTTTTGTTTTCCGAGAAGGGTCGCAACCTAACTTCTGATCAACACGAGATGAAGTTTCTTCAATCTTAGCTTATTATAAACATTCTAGTGTATTGTAGACGTTGGAAGTAAAAAAAATCCTCTATTCGAGATTTCAAAAAATATTTTTGAACAGTGAGAGCAGGAAACTTCCATTTGAACACTAGACCAACATCCTGACACTTAAAATTGATACTGAATTTTGTGTCAACTTAACTCTTGAAGCTTCAGTTTTATCTTCTGAAGCGTATAGGATAGCAATTTTCAAAAACTGGAAACTTTACTATTTGAGACTTTTTAATTGATTTTTCCATATATTGAAAAACTTGATAAAATTAGATTTTATCGCAATTTATTGGAACAGTAAAGTTGGAAGGAAAGCCCTTACATGATACCAACTGACGCCGCTGCTGAGAACCGTTGCGCCGGCAGTAATTCCTTCATACGCCACATTGTCCAGGGATATCTAAGTTCTCTCGACTTTAGAGAAAATAGCCTTTGAAAATAAACAAACCCGGACCAAGAGCGCTCCAAGAACACTTCCGACCAACTGACTACAAACGTAGCAAACGGCATGAACTGGGCTCAACTTGCCGACCAGAGTTATTCCCAGAGTGACGGCTGGATTGACGTGGCCTCCGCTGGAATAGAGACATTGAAATTAACAAAATTTCGAAATAGAGAAAAATTCTCAAAAGAAAAATCATTCCTTGATACTATTTCTCTTTTCTTTTCTTATTTCTTGACGATGTAAAAAATATAGAAGAAATTTCAATCTCCAAAGGCCGTAGCTCTTCAGAATCGGAGAGACCCCAGAAAATACTTCTCTGTGTTCCTGGCATCTATCAAGTTCCCATGTTCTATAGGTTTTATGATTTTTTTAAGTTTTCAAAAAATCAACGACCTGTATTTGCATTCATAAAATTTATTATTATATCCTTTTTCTACAGTCGTGTCCTTTGTTTCGAAATTCATCCAAATTGTCTTTATGCTTTCGTTATTTTCGTTTTAACGACTCTAGCACTGAACCGCGCGTAAAATTATTCAATGCGACGTAGCTGCGAGGCGCGCCCGACCAGAAACGCTTGCGGAAGGCAGAATCAGATTCTCGCAAAGATATGATAAAAAATTAATCTAACATTTTTCAGCCAGTTAGGCACACGCAAACCGCGACGAGTTGAAAAATTCCATGTTCTGATGAAAGATACTGTTTTATAAAGCATTAAATGATGAAAAAAAAAAATCGGTTCTCAATTGGGAAACGCTTCAGGTAAACCTAATTTTTTCTGTCCTTGGAGGTTTTTTCGCTCATATTTCGTTCAGATCAAGTTGATACAAGTCCAACCTGAGTCCACCAAAAGTGGCGACCAGCACAAAAATGGCGGCCCCGTGAGCAAAAGCTGCGTGAAGCACGGGGTCTGATGAATGCGAAAATGCTTGCGTCGATCCTGGAATTGAATTTTTACTATCGTTTATCTAAAAATCAAAGAGTCTTACTGAGAAACGTGTGATAAATGGCATAGAGAAACCTACCAACATATACAAAAATAAGGACAGCAATCATTTCTGCGAAGCAGCGGGAGAAAATGGAGTGGCCGCGTTCATCCTCCGTCATTTTGGTGGCGCCTTCAATGGCTGGTTGCGATGACTGTCCCTGGAATCAGGAATCTCAAGCCCTTCATTCAAAATTGTGCTATCAAATACGAGAAAAACCATCTGAAAAGAAAAAAACCCTTTTATAAGACTACACAAAAACGCCATCAAAGCATGAAACTGGAACCAATGGCTTCGCCTATGAATGAGAACTCATCTTTTTACCCATCCATTTTACGCTATCGTTTCGGTTTTTACGACAACTTTAGCTGAGCAGAAACTTCTTCTACAACAAAAAATTCGGAAGCTTTTTTCAGAGTATGGAATTCGAGTTGAAAAGAGACGAGGAACTCGCTATATTTTTCCTCCCAAAAGCGGTCTACCGTGAATGGAAGGCGCAAATCTGGCGGAATAAGTGCTCTCAGTAGGATTCCGAATTGCTAACGTTACAACAAACTATACTAGAAGCAGACAAAACAGAAGAACTTGATTTTCAGCTCAAAGTAATTGGAAGTTCAACATTACCCTAGCCAACCATTGGAATAGATTTTTTTTTTCTCTATCCTCTCGTTCGGCATTTTCCGCGGCGTTTTCTAACTACTTCTCATTTGACTTATTCCGACACGCTTCAAAATTATTTCATGAAGGCTTTGGAATCACTAGTTCTACCAGCCAATATAACGAAAGAGTACCGACTTTGACAAAGTAGAGGAAGACCTTCATCGCGTCGAATCGCCGAGGATTGAACCAAAATGAAATAAACAGACGATTCGAAACCGAAGGTTAATGGCACAAACGATCCCAAATTCAAACACCGTATCCTCGCATCTCATGCCAATTGCCGCCCCAGACTGTTTGCCGATGGTTTTCAATGAGTTTGACGTCCTTCCAATCAAACTTTGACCCTTTCATTCTTTTGCGAAAAAGAATGTGGGTGCTGCCAGAAGAATAGTTTCATGGAACAAAAAAAAGCTTTTATCACTAGACTTACTTGAAAACTATGCTTAGAAAGAAGTTTCAAGCCTCAACAATGAGATCAAGGCAACACTAGTACCGTAAAACTCATACGATAACCTTTGTTTTTTCTTAAAATGTTTTCTAAAATTTGAAAAAAATCGAGCCTTGGTTCCTATTATTCCTCACAAGTTCGAAATTCCTTAAAAAAGCTTCTTCTACATGCCGAATTTTACACAGTTTTATTAGCCGAAAAAAAAAAATCATTAAGACGTTGGAAAAAAAAAATCGAAAACTTGATAATTTGCGACCTCAATCTTATCTCAATCCGACCACAAACTACAACGGATTCCGTCATTGTTTTGTGGTTTGAAAAAAAGAAAACATTTTGTGCAAAATGACCTTCAGGAACACCGTTTCAACTTGATTATAGTTTCATCTTTTCCTTTCGCATGTCCAACTGCGCTTCTTCAAAATACAAAAGACAAACATTTTGATCGAAATTTGATTTGAACTAAACCCAACTAACTAAAAGCGCCGATCAAACGCCATACAGCCTTTTCTCTCTCTCATTTGGACGCTCAATGTGTATACAAAGAAGTGGAATGTCGTCGAAAGAGCAAAAGTCCTCGCAGAAATATTTGAAACGAAACGTATCAAAAAATGAAACAGCATCGTGGACCGAATAAAAATATACATGATGCCGTTACGAAAAGCCTAAAATAACCATTTGAGGAAAAGCTGCGGTGAATGTCTCAGCGGGAGCACCGGAAGAAAGGGGCGCCGGTGAAGAAAGAAGTATTTTGGGGCAAATTATTCCAAATGCGACAACCAAGAATGAGTCATAAGTACTTTTATACAGTGGCGGTCACGAAAATAACTTCCCTCTTTTTGTTGAGAATCAAAAAAGACTAGCGTTTTGTGAATACCGCGTAAAAACGTCGCAAAATTATACCGCACACTTTTTGAACACAAAAACCCAAAAAACTCATTTCATAAAAGGTTATATTCAAAAATGTGTTTAAAAAAATCATTAAACTGCATTGTCTTCTATTCCATTTCATTTTTCGGTTCCATTCAGAAACTGTTTCACAGACATTTTTCTTCAAAATAGATGGTGCATCATCAATATTTGAAAAGTCCATTTTTTGATAGAAAGAATCTCATTTTGAATCGAAAACTACCTAAAAACCTTGATAAGAACTTTTTCATTTAAAAAGTACTAGAGAAATCAAACATGAGAAATAAGTTTAGATCGGTCAACCCGACTAACGGAAGTTTTTGGGACACGGGATCTTCGAATCCTTACAAGGTCAAGGAAAAAAATAGGCGACTAATTCAGCGAAAAAACAACCGAGGACTTTGACGAAGAAAAAATTAGCAGAAATTAAGGCGAATAACCTCAAAAAATAGCAAGCGTTAATGGAGAATCGTAGTTTTTTTTTGTCTGGAGGTCGCATCCATCCAAAAATGAATCTGTGGTGCGTTGCTAGGAAGAATCTTGGAGCATGGCCAAAAAGGACCAAAAAGGGAAAGAAACGACACCTGCGAGGCCTTTCGAGAAACTACTCGGCTCAAGAAAGGGTGGTTTTCAACTACAAAATAATTATCCAAAAATATTCGAGCCTGAATCGTCGAACCCAGAAGGAATACCCAAACAAGGTGTCAGAGGACAAAGTGCAAAATTTGCATAAAACCTCTCTTATTTGTGGTTTGGCGCGCCTCACTCGCTTCTGAAGGTTTTCTAGAAAAAATGAAATGGAATTTTCATTGGTGTGCAGAAAAAAATGAAGCTCTAAATCTTTGAAAGATTGTAAAAGATCGGAAAATCGAGGCTTAAACGGCTTTTTATCGTGGGAAAAGTCCACGTTTTTTTTCTCATTTTTTTTTACGAAAATTTAAGTTTTGAAAAGAGAGAAAAATTTTCGTTCATGTGAGAATTTCCCTCGAAATTTTTGATTTGAACTCTTTAAAAATTGGTTACAGCCGAAAAAAAAGAAGATTTATCTCCTTCTGAAACATACCGGAAGTCGAAATCAACTTTTAAGAAGAAGGTTTTTTTTTCGCATCGTTCAAAATTTCTCAAACGTGACAACTAACTTAGAAAGAAAAAAACCTTACGCTGCTCATCTTCAATATACGCATAGAAAAGGTTTTTTCTTCAAGCTTTGAAGAGAAGTAGACTAGACCATTTTTGATGACTGAACTTTCAAAAACTTCCACCTCGTCACCAGAAAAATGATGTTAAGTACCCAGTGTTCGAACCTAATCTACAGTAACCCACATCGTTCTTGAAGTTTTCGGCGATGACGCTGGCGCTGCGGAAACCGACCGCGCTGTTTTCTTTTTCGGAAAACGGCGAAGATTCCATCCCCGGGTTGAGCTCCAGTTCGAAGGATTCGGAATGAAGTCGCAGAGAAGAATGAGGGGCAGTCAAGAAGAAGGAACACTGACGGGCTCCGCAGGTTGAAGAGGTGATTCTTGACGAATTACCTTGTTTTTCGACTTCTTTGAAGTATCACTCCATAACAAAAAAGGACAAGAGAGACATTTGCTGACAAATTTCGGTCCTGAGGAATTCCCTTCCAAAATAACTCCTTCTTCCACTAATATTTTCGAGTGCTCCTTGTTCAAATCTTTTTTTCAAAGAACCTGTCTTTGTTGTTATGTTAAGAAAGCCAAAAAAAATCTGAAAAACAAAAATTCATATATTTCGAAACTAATGAGAGTACAGATGGGGAATAATAATCAAAACCAAAAAGTTCAATTTTTTATCGCGTCACAATCAAGTTTTCGCCTTTATAGTAGTGATTTTTGTTTTTCGAGTCGGAAGATTTCAAGTGGAGTCAAGTTTTTCCGCCTCAAAGTGCGAACGAGGTTCAATTTGCTACTTGATGTTTGAAATCGGAACATCACAGAAGATTCCTTGAAATGAAAAAGAAAATAATAACTCACCGTCATGAAAAGCTTTTCCGGCCTCCTTCTGACTGGCGATCCCTTCAAACTTCGAATCGTTCCAGTCTTTTCCTACCAAATTTAACGAAAGTTCATTCAGTTTTTCGTTCCTGCAATCATCTGAATTAATTCCAAACCATGTTTCAATACTAAACATAAAAACCTTATTACATATATAGAACACTATTTACAGAAAGACAAACAACTTTTTGGTAAACTTCGAACTACAAAAGCCTTGTTAAAATAGCTTGGAACCTCAAAAAGGTTTTTAAACCTGATGAAGGTAGTCAAAGCTTGGTGCACCTTTAAAAGTGCAACAAGCTTTTTCAATTCAAGTTTTTTTGAATTTTTTTCTTTGCTCCCAAAATATTTTTTTCGGCAAATCAAGTTCAAGGAAAAAAACTTGAATTATTGGAATCAATTTTTTTGACCACAAATTTTGAAAAACTAAAAAAAGAACCTTCGGAGTTGGAAGAAAGTAAAGTTTTTTTGCATTTCTCTTAAATATGTTTCCCACTTCCAGGACACCTGTACCTGTCTGATAGGTGCGGTAGATTCAAAGACTCTGAACTGGCGGATAATGAGGCCGCCATTGTTCTTCTCGCACTGCCAATTCACACATTCGATTGCATCTGATTCTCGAGCCTTTTTATTAAAAGATATCTTCTTCTCTGGAGTGTGCCCTGTAGTACATTTTTTCTCTTTCTAAACTAAAGTTCCTTCGAAAATTCTTGCTGTTATGGAGAGACGCTTTGACCAGACTTTATCCGTGCAGTTCTCGTGTCAAAAATTGGATTCCCTTTACTTTATTTTTTCTTTTTTCTTCACGGTTCTAGTATGTATCATATACATGAAAAAAATCGGCCTTATATTTATCGAATTCTAAGATTTTTCTGAAGTAATTGAAAATGAGAAAATCTTGGTAATCATTACAAGAGTTTTTTTCAAAAACACTACCAAAGTCGGCTCACCATAATTTCGAAATTAAATCTTTATTTATTATATTTTTTTAAATTATGCTTTGCTAAAAGTTTCGAGAAAAATCGAATTTTTTTGAAATTCAGGTCCTTGAAATTTTTTTCAACTTGAAAAAAAGAAACATCGTATTAACTGTTGAAATTTCGCGAAAGTGAAAAAAAACCCTTCGAAGCATTTTTGAACCAAAATTTTAGGTCGATCGAAAAGCTGGATTTAGGAGTTTGAATTTTCTTATTTTAATAATAGAAAGTTTCTGGAAATCTCCTTTTTCAACAATTTGGTTAAAAATATTCAGTATCATATCCTTTTTATATTGTTAATGTTATATACATAAGTAACGAAAAAACACAGCCAGTATTCGCTTGCCTTGCGATAGATACAAAATCGTTGCAGAGTCTCGAATTTGCACCGACGGCAAGGTGAGCGACCGAGGCTTTTCCATAAAAAAAGAATAAAAAGCGGACAGTCGCGTGGAATATATTCAGGAGGAAAACGCTCATCTGATTCTGAATCGAACCAGACGCAAAAAAGGGCTTCCGATGGTACTACCCCTTTTTCGAAATAAGCCTGGTTTACGGTAGCGAAGCCCTCCGTGTGAGCAATTCACACCGAAGCCCTTGCTTTTGGTTAATCCATGCTGAAGTACTGTAGCTGTAACAATTCATTATCGATCGTTAACTGAAATTTTCATAGTTTTTGCTTGAAAGTTGCCTTCAAAATCTACTAGATAAGAGAAGATTCGCTAGAATCGTCTTTTTCGACCGTTTGAAACTTACATTTTTCTTTTTTTCAGCTCAAAATCCAATTTCAAACAATGAATTTGATGTGAAATGTCTTGAATTGCCGTCGTTCAGCAATATATTAAAAAAATAGGTGTTCGTCAAAATGGAATTCCCATGCAACATTTTTGATGTAAAAAAAAGTGAAAATAAACGAAAAAAAGAATAAAACGTCTTTTTTTTTAAATGAGAAACCCCTTTTGGATCTTTACGCTGTAAATTCAAAAGCCTAAGCGCGTTTTCAGAGTAGTTCTCTACAATTCATAGTAGACATTTGGCATCCTCATTCTTTTTATCTCAAAAACTTCAAATTTACATTTCATTCATTTTTTCGGGTTTTTTTTAATCGTGTAAGTTTTTCATCAATAAATGTCTGAAAACATTGATTACAATCCGATAATCTTAATACTTTCAATTTAACTTGAATCATTCTCAAGAAAGCAGATTCCAACTACAACTTTCTCATAAATAGTTCCCTAGGCCTATTCATTCAGATTATTTTTCAACGAATTTTCTCTAGAACTAGAAAAAAAAAAGAAATTACGAGAAAAAGTTTCATTTCATTAAAATGCTCGCTTGGCAACTCGTTCTATGTCTCATCTCATTTTCTTATTCTTCTTCCCTGGTTCAAGTACTGTTTTCTACCCTTCAATTTTGGGTTATCTCTTTATCTCAGGAAAGAATCGATAAATGCGATTTATTCGAGTCTTCGAGTGCGAATCACGTAGGAGAGTCGCTTGTTTTCGCCAACATTGTCCAAAGTGCCCTTCATCTCAATTATCAAGTCGAATACTAGATTAACTCGATTGAATATTTCGTGATTTCCAGCGAATTAAAGACTTTATCGAATGCTACACGTCAAAGAGCGGAATGAGTCACGAAGAGATGATATTTGAAAAAGGTTACTGTCGCAAACTACAAACTCGCCGTTAGATTCTTTGAAAGTAGCAGTGTTTTTTAATTATTCGCCTTACAACATCACATCCTTTAATTATTTAGTTCAAAATATTTTTTGAAAATAAATTTTCTCGTTAAAAATTCAAAAACGACCATTAAAAATAGTTTTTCTCGATGTTATGCAGTGAGTTAAGATTTTGTTTTTAAAGATGGGATAATTTGGACGTCAAGATTTTACTTTGGTACATCAGAAAACAAAGAATCTACAAAAAGCCTTCATTTTAGTGAAGTTTTTCGAGACAGCGTTGGATCAGATAATTTTTTCTCTTCACTTGAAAAATATTTCAGAACCGGGCACATCTTATTGCTCTTTGCAATACATTTGGAAAACACAATCGACCCCCAAAATCAACCGAAAACGGGTGATTTTATCGACAGACGTTCTCGAGATATGTGCGGCTGGCCCTGGGAAGGCTTCTTTTTGGAATCACTTCGATCAAAGTAAAGCCGAAATTACCGGACTCAAAGTAAGAAAATCACAGAAAACAATGTGACAGTACAGTACGAATGGATCACCGAGTGCTCAGCCTGCATTTGGCCCACCGTCACGGAGAAAGGAGAACGATATAAAAATATAAAACTTCCATCCTTCAAATTCTATGGTTTATCAGAGCATTTGAAGTGAAGTTCAAAAATTTACAGAATACTTACAAATACTGATTGACAAAGGCGTCGACGCTCTTTTGGCCTTGGAAAGCCCGGCTCCGGCGATTTACCAACCTGTTCGAGAAACAAGGTGAGTATCACCCTGTCGCATGAACTGAACAAAGAATTCAGCTCTGTGGAAAAAGGGATCGACAAACGCTGGAAGTCTCTGGGAAGCATGGCTCTCGTCGTTTTCTTTTTGTTCTTCTCGTTGATTTGCTGTCTCTGCGCGTGTCTCACCCACGCCGTCGTTGACGAAGGTTCGACATTTGAAGCCGTTTATATGACTGACTTTTTCGAATTTTGTTCATTTTTCAACTATTTCTTGAGTTGCAACAATATGTTTTTGAAAGACTAACCCTACAAAAAGGTTAGAAAGTAATGAAAAATGTTGTGAAATTGCACAACCTGTTTTTTCGTGTATTATTCTCAATTTTAGACTTTCATCATCGAAACGACGAGCGGGACTTTCTCGCACAAGTATTCCAAATAGCGGAAGATGAACAGGTGAGAAACGTCGAAATTTTTCTTTTTTATATCAAAGCCCATTATGTTGGCTCCCGAAATTTTCTGTGATGCTTCTAACCGTTTTTATCTAATTCGAAACCATAGAACGATCATCATGCCATCGAAGAAGTGGCCAACGTGCCTGCACCGAACCAGAATCCAGGAGAAGTCAGAAATGAGTCAGCCAGCGTGAATTCGCATCAAGTAACTAATAACGTAAGCAAAAGCGGCTTGGTATACGGTAGGATATCGATCTGCAGATGCAGTCTGCAAGCGCCGTCCAGTCTTTGACGGGGAGCAATTCCTCGCTGGCCTCGACACAATATACCGCCAGATCCGAAGAGGTTCCTCAGATGGAGATTATATCGTCCAAAAGGACATCGTTCAGCCTTCAGGATCCGCTGTTGTCGAGGACGTCACGCAAGGCGCCAGCGAGGCGACGGAAATGAAACGTTCTGCTGTCAAGAATTGACGCTCTTATTCCTCTAACGATAAACGCTTTGTTTTTCGATTTTAAACTTGGATTTCCTGCAAACGAAAAAGAACTAAATTGAATTAGTTTTTTTCGTTTTCATTATACCGCTTTTTTTTGAAAATTGCTTTTTTTGAACTATTGATCCGAAAAAAGTCAAAAAACGTTCAACTTTTTTTTTCAAACTTTGGAAGTCAAACCAAGCCTACACATCTTTTTAAATTTTTTTTCGTTTTTCCGTACCAATTAGCAAAAAAGCCTGTTCAAAATTGTTTATAAATCTTGAATTTTAAATGACTTTCTCCCTATTCACCGTATCTTCAAGCTCAATTTCTCGAAGTTTTAACTTTCAATAGCCTCTTTCATCCCCATTGTCTCCCTTTTTTTCTCTAGATTCCTTTAAAAAAACTAATATTTATCACATCTTTTTTTCAAACCACACAGTTAGAAAGCTCAGTAGTGAGCATCCTGACGTCGTCCTGAATGATGAGAAGTCTAAAACAGAACTCGCAAAAAACAGTACTTGGATGTCCGGATCTTCGTATTGCTTGGCAGAAACAAACTGAAGAGAGCGGTTGATTTTGGAATGGAACATTTGGCGAGCGGCTTCCGCCTTCTCTTCTCCTTCCAATTTGCCCAAAATATTGACAAAGGTCGCCAGGATGATTCGGATAACCTGGAAAAGTGCTTGAGTAGATGGAAAAGTGAGGAGAAAAAGTAAAAGAGAATATTTACTGAAAAAAATAATAAATCGAGGCTTCGAACTTTGAAATGAAACAGATGAATATTCTTAGGGGATTTTTTTTTGAAGAATGGAAAAACTTTAAGCACCAAAGGTACAAGAAACCCTAATGAGTTTCTCGAATGAAAATATGAGCTTCCAGACAGGCCCATCAAATCGACATCAAAAAAAAACCTTTTCTGTTGTGGAATGGAGCAGAATATCGCCGAGAGTCTGAATCAGACCGCAAGAAGTGCATCTCTCGGCGATCTGTGGATTGAACGCCATGCACCAAACGGCGAAAATGATCTGATATTGCAGCTGAAAGTTGATCTTTTTCTTGAGAGCTCCCATCAGCAGTTCAACGCCGCCAACGTCCTCGAAAGCGACCCTAGACAAGTGGTTAAAAATTCAGATTCACTATCACAAGCATCTGACGAAAAATTCTGCGAAAAAGAGACACGCTTAATCTAAACATATTTTTTTCAGTTTTTGCGCTTTTTAACAAAAATTTTTGATTTTTTTTTAAGATCATAAAAATCAGGTTTTTTTCACATTAGCTTTTTTTCATTTTCGCAATTTTAAACTTTATTTAAATCTTAATGGAAGATCGAATTTTTCGAATGAAAAACAAAGCAAAAAAGTTTTGCTTTTTTTTCAAATCGCCTCAGACAGCATTTTCTAAAGTCACGGGACCTGAAAATAATCAGAACATTTTTCAAGATTTTCGTCAGACACTTATTTCAACCTGTAGGGATCGTAGCGAAGCATTGTTTGAAGACATCGCAAAGTTGATTTAATGAAGTCATTCATGTAAAAATGAGATTTTAAAAACATTTCCTATGAGATTCCCACCGGGATCGCCGAAATTTGAGTGCGAAGATGTACCAAATACTCTCGGAGCTGCAGTTCTGCCATGCGATGTTCCTCCGTACTTGCAATAACGGCTATGATAAAGCTCATCTGAACTGTAGAAATGAGTCAAATGACAAAGATCCTCAGAAACCTCGGCTGAAATCACGACATCTTCTTTTTGCATGATGGTTAATAGGAGGGCGTAAGTCGTGGAATTCGTGTCCTCATTACTCACCGGGAAAAATTTGGCATGGGTCGGGTTTTCCTATAAACTTCCTGATAAGGTTTAATTTCTACTTTCTAAAAATTTTCCTTTTTCATGTAGCTTTAAAACGTGAATGAAATTACCTTCAAAAGTTCATGAAGAATGGTCACCAAATACCGAGCGTGTCGAACTTGTGCCAATTGAGTTATTAACCGCAGACAAGTCTGCACAAATCCAACTCCAAAGCCTTGTTGAGAGAGTAACTCGTCGCGATCCTCAGAACTCTTCAAAAGATCGATAGCTTCAAGAAATGATTTCGCAAACTTTGGTCTCTTGAAATCTGCTCAGAAATTTGTAGTCTTCGCTGGTGATAAGCTGCGCTTGCAAGTACAAATCCCATTTGGGAGTCTCGTCAAGAATCTGTAACAACAAAATGTTTGATGAAAAATTCTGAAGAACTTTACCTTCTGAACTTCCAAATCCAAACAAGAAGAAGAGTGCGCAATCTGTCCGCCGATACTCATCTCAATACTTTTAATTTACCAAGAAATGAACAAAAAGAAACTTGATAAAAATAAAGAAGCAATATTCATTAAATAGTTATTTTTTCAAAAGCTAGATTGCATTAACTTTGTTCGAAAACCCAAGTAAAAATCAACGTGTCCAAAAATTTTTCACAGAAAAAATCTACTCACTTTTCTTCGAAACAAAAAAGTCAAAGAGAAAATAACACAGCGGAAATTTTCGAAACTCATGCTAGACTCGCATTGACACGCAACATAGTGATGGTACGACAAAATCTCAAGTCCGCAAATCTCGAGGACCGTAATCTTGTGTACGCAGATCTAAAGTCCCATAATCTTGGAAACCAAAAATCTTGGAGACCAAAATCTTGGAAACCACAATCTTGGAAAGTAAAAAAATCAACGCTTTTTGCGAATAGATTTTATCAGAAATTGTATTCGGTGATCCAAACGAGAGAATATAAGTAGATAAAGTGCAATAAAGAAGACTAAAAAAAGGAAGATTTTTTTGCTTTCCAAGATTGTGGTTTCCAAGATTTTGGTCTCCAAGATTTTGGTTTCCAAGATTATGGGACTTTAGATCTGCGTACACAAGATTACGGTCCTCGAGATTTGCGGACTTGAGATTTTGTCGTACCATCAACATAGTTTGTGAAACAAATCTGATTTCATGAAGCAAATTTTAAAAAACGATTCAAAGATAAACTTTGAATGCGCGTAAGGTCTTGCACCTCGTACGAAGGTACGTCGAGCATACAGTAACCTTCAAAAAGAAAAAAAAAGTGCAGTTCACTAAGAATAACTGACGAGATAAACGCGAAGTCGGTGGCGGTACATTCACCCAATTTTGTGGACTACATCGCAGCGAGAGTAACGCTATACCGCGGGGGAGCCGCGAGCGATATCGCTCGCCTCTCGCTGCGACCTCGCAAACGTCTTGCGCTATATCGCTCTCTGAAAAATTTTTCTTCAAAAATGTTTTTTTCTTGAATTTGTTTGATTTCATCATAAAAAGTCAAAAAAACAAAGCAAAAAAAAATTTTTTTCAAATTTCAAATTTTTGAGAGGGAGCGATATGGCAGCGAGACTTTGACGAGGTCGCAGCGACATGTTGACGAGATCGCAGCGAGAAGCCTTGGCTATATCGCGTGCGGCCCGCTGCGATATCGGCAATTATGTTGGGTGTTGACGAACTCGCAAACATCTCGCTTTTTTCTAGGCGCGCTCTCGCATTTCTCTCGGCGCAACCTCGCATTTTTCTTGGCGCCATCTCGCATTTATCTCGCATTTCGGAAATTTTTAAATTGCGAGAGAAATGCGAGCTCGCCCCTAGAAAAATGCGAGCTCGCGCCCAGAAAAATGCGAGACCGGCGCGAGAAAAAAAGCGAGATGTTTGCGAGCTCGTCAATGTACCGCCAGTGTCTCGCGTTTATCTCGGCAGTTATTCTTAGTGTTTCCAAAAAAAACTTGAGGCAAATCAATTTTCAGAAGAGTTTGAAAGTTTATCATTAACATCTCACCTAATTTTTGTTTAGTAGTGGAAATTGATGTAAAAAAGACATAGTTTTGACATTCACGAGCAGTAGAAGTTGAGAATTAAATAATTTATCAGCGAGTTATTTTTTTAAGAATAAACAGAAATATGGTTTCATCGTGGCGTTCTCGGATTGATAATGTTTCAATCAACGTTGCGAAATTGAAAATCTGAAAGGTTTCATGAAAATATCATTAATAAATAGTGGATACCCGCATCGGCAGCGCATTGGAGAATGTAGTTGAGCATGACCAACAGCAAGGCCAGCCACAGAAACAGAACGATTGCCGAGGACACTCCAGCTGGGTCGACGCTGAAAATAACATGTGGATTTGAGAAACAATTCAGAAAAAAACAAAGGCAAATCATCAAATAGTGGAGGATCGATGGGTTCGAAGGAGTTGAGCGGGTTCTCCCACAAATCCACGAAGTCTAGACTTTGCAAAAGCACCTCGATGTAGCCTGAAATTCAGGGTTTTTCTTTTTCACCCAAAATTCCAATAAGAACCTTCGATGTGACTTTTTGGTAGGGTTATATTGATCATGAGAACCTCTTGCAAAGTTTTATAATCTCCGTGGGGATGGTAAACTCTGTCAGAGGCTCGCATTGTCCAAATGACCGTCCTTCGTCGAACTTTACTCAGTTAAAAAATTCAGCGTAAATGAGGAAACTCACTATTTTCATCAGCAATAATTGATTTGAAAAAGCATTCATTTGGATTCACTTCGTCTTCGGTGACTATCACCATTCTTGTAACTTGCGAAATACTTGGAGAAGGAGAGGGAAAACATCCGTCTGAATTATTGGAAATTGTTTTAATACCTAAAGTAGGAAACACCTTTTTGATAAACGTTTTTGACGATTCTTTCAGACTTCAGCATGCATCTAAAAGCTCTGTTCATACGCTGAAAATACACGAATATATAAAAAAATGATTTTTTTTTACCGTATCATTGAAGATTTCAGGAAAAACGAAGGTAACATTAGGATGTGAAAAGGGCTTTGGGAAAAAGTCGCACACATTATAAGTCTGTTGTAAGGTTCATTTTGCTTCTGAATGTCCCTTTTTCTTACAAACCGCGTTATTTCTCGAATAAACTTCTGGAAGTAGAAAAATGAGATAAAAGTTTGCGAGTCGCAACATTTTGCAGGTTTAAAATGGCTTGAACTTCGACGTACGGATAATATTGAAAAGTTTATTCCGTTTTAGATATTCCTTTTGAAGTCTTACAGTGACGTTTGGAAGATATGTATAGAATTTACAAATATGTCGCGGTGAAAATCTGTTTTTCTATGGCCAATCATAGGCAGAAGCTATGATTCATAGCTTCTGCGCCTTTAAAAGGTACAACAAGAATTTCTGGAGAAACCATAAATGTACACAATCGATGAAAACCCGTGGGGTTCTATTACATACAAATATGGAGTGGGATTTTCTCGGAGTTTTATTTACCGGTTTTTGTCGAAAAACCCTAATTATTGAATTTTCAGTCGTACTTTCAAATTATCAAAGAGTACAATTTCGGAAAAAATGAAATAAATCACAAGGATATCTCAAAGAAAGGTGAGTTCAATCAGGCGATTGTGTTCGCCTGGGCTTTTCGGACACGTCGTCGCGTCGTAGGGAACCTCCGAAGAAGATAATTGTTCGCAACCGCAGACATTTGTGCTGAAAAATCCTTCATTATTCATTCACAACAGTTAAGAAGGTTGGGTAAGGTGTTTTTGGGAAGAGAACAACGGGGAAAACGATGTGTAATTGATTTCAAGGACTTTTACTGTAGTGAGAGCCATTCCAGTGGGGGACATTGGAAGGGACATCAATATGAATATATTTACAAGTCAAAAATCAGTCTTACCAGCACTTGCGTCTCTTGGATTCTGAAACTGTTCGATTTTTCACTTACTTCCAATTTTATTGATCGAAGTACATGGCCTGTTTGAATTCAACCTACTAGCAAATAATATGAACCAAATTTGAAACTTTGATTTCTTTTGAAAACCGCTCTAAACTTTTTAGGATGCCCTAAATGAAGGTACTGATAGTGAAACCAAATTTTCGAAAAACGTCTCTAGGTTGATTTTATTATAAGTTGTTGAAGAGATTTCGCGAGCTTTTATCTCGTGATTTTTAGTGTGTATATATCATCGGGATCTCAGAAAGTACGAGTTCAGTGACTCTTTTCTAGGAAAAGTCAGTGATTCTCAATGGAGCAACCTTGATGGAGTTGTTCGTCCTCGATGGCCCTTTGCTGAGCCGTGGCGAATTTCTCAACGATCATCGAAATGGGAAAAGCGAGAACGATGATTCCACAAATCGACGTCGCCGTTGCCACAAGCTTCCCTCCTTAAATTGTTTTTTGAATTGAAAGAAAAACTTCCGCTTTTCAATTTTTAAAAATTACCCGTGGTCACCGGTTTTGCGTCTCCGTAGCCAACAGTCGCCATCGTTACTCTGAAAAATCGAAAAATTTAAACAATTTCGATTAATTTCGAAAAAAAGGGCTTGAGATGTTGCCAGAAAATTTAACTTTTTTCTATCATTTTGTAGAACTGATTTGACTCGAGAACTTCTTTTTTTTATCTCAAATGTCAAGCTGAATTCAAAAAATTTCTGCCTTTCCCAGAGATGCTCTCTTTTCGCCCTTTTAGTGCTGTAATTTTTTTTTTTGAATGATCTTTTCAAATGTTCATATCACTAAAAAAAAAACTCACACACACCACCAGCATCCAGCCGGAATACTGTAAAAGTCGGTATGAGGCTCGTCTTTCTCCAAGTAGTACATAATTGTGGAGAAAAAGATGATTCCAGTCACTAAGAACATGCTCAACATGCTGAGTTCAGTGATTGAGGACTGCAGCGTGTGGCCGAAAGTCTGGGAAATTCAGTTTTTCAGGGATTGTCTGGAAGTCACTTGAGGGCTTTATACATCTTCCTAGCAATTCTTGTTTTGTTGCCAGAAATCTCTTTCAACTGTCGCATTTGCAAGCTATTATGCCGCAGTGACCATGTTAAAAGGCTACTGCCGAAAATGGTCTTGAAACGATTAGCGAAAGCTTTTATTTATTTATTGGACCCTAGAATAATTTTCATTTCGTTCTCACCTGCAAACTGGTACTGTATCGGGCCAATTTGAAGACGCGAGCCATGCGAAGAACTCGGAGAACCCTGATAACCAGCATCGCCCCAGTGAACTCTTTGAGACTCGACTCCATTCCAAACAAAGGCAAGCCGATTTCCAGATAAAACGGAAGAATCGTTAGAAGATCGATAATGTTGAGAGTTTTCTTCACAAATTGCTTTTTCCTCGGGTAAATGACGATTCTCAAAATGTTGGAATTTAATAAGAATTCTCTGGGACTCGCCCAACCGAATGAGGTACTCCAAGGTGAACCAGCCCATGCAGACATACTCAAGGATGACGAGGAGTAAATTTGGACTATCGGTAGGTTTGTAGACGAAATCGGGATACTGGTCATTTTGGACGCCTTCCTGCGGAAATTTGTTGCCTTCATTTGGTCTGTGGCGGACGTGCATGAAGTGGTAGGCGGAGGCGTTGGCATTGTCCGCCTGGAACTCGGGCATCGATCCCATGATCAGACCTGAAAGGTTTTCGTCGTCGGCTTTCGGCGAGCATGGAAATGTTCGGAAAATGATAATATAGTCAATGTTTCCCGACTTGAAAGGCGAGGGAGGCAGGGCAAGGGGCGGGACGCGTAACATGTGCGTTCGCGGTTCGTGGCACGAGTCCAATTCAATTGCCGCCGACTATTTAAAAAGCTCGGCAACCGCTCTTTTCCAATGTTTTCTCTCATTTTTTCATGAGCACATGAACACAATCAATAAATAATTGAAAAAGGAATGAAAAGAGCAAAAAGGGAACTTTTCAAAGAGTCGATGGCGGTGAATTGAACACGTGCCAAGGACCGCGAACGCACACGCTTCGCGTCCCGCCCCCTGCCCCGCCTCCCTCGCCTTTCAATTCGGCAAAAATTGACTATAACGGGAGCTCTAATTGAAAAAGCAATTTTTTCATAACGAATCAAAATCTAAGGTCGTCGGGCAACGGACTTTCGCTGAAAATTTCAAAATACAGTTCTAATTTTCTTTCGAAGTCGAGTTGATTCAAATTCAAATTGTAAAAGTAGTCTAGCGAAAAAGAGCCTGAAAATTTTCCGCGGAACTAGTGATAATAACAGAATTTTAAGCTTTCAAAAGAAAAAAATTGAGTTTTTTGACCTTGTTAGGAAGCAGAGTCTTAAAGTAACACAGTATGATAAAAATCCAAGTCTTCTTCTTTTGGCAGGCTCAAAAGCGAGACTCACCACAAACGCTGGCAAAGACGAAGAACACAGAAAGAACAGCGAAGAAGGCCGCAGAGAAGGACGACTGCGGATCTTCCAGGAACCTCCAGACACGGAGACGTGCCTCGGCACAGCAGGCGCCGTCAAAGTCGGCGATGTAGTCTTCCTCGTTGAAAGAACTGACGCGGGTGATGCTTTTGTTGGCCGAGTCACTTGGCAGAGAACAGCAAGATGAGAGCTGCAATTCTCCATTTTCGTATCAGTTTTTGATGTCGTTAGAACATTGGATTTTGATATCCGCCAAAAGTCGAGTTCTTCCTTGAACCGCTCCACACAGACATGATGCGGCTTATGGAGACTTCCTGGAAAATTTATAGATAGAAGTCTTTAGGAAACCGAATACCGGTCACAAAATAGTCCATTATATGGTCAGTCAATCGAGTGTTCCGCTCCATGTAGTATTCGTCGTTTTTCTCGTCATAGCCATCCACCAAGTCTAGCCTGAAAACTTTTTGGGGTTCTCACTTCTGTTTTGCACAAAAACTTCCTACGGCGTGCAGTAAGATTCAACTTCAGAGCTTTTTTGAAATTCATTATTTTAACACTTCCCGATGCAATCTAGCGAAAATTCTGCTTTGGGTCGGGCGCTAAGTTTCCAGCCATTAAAATGCTTAAAGGCATATGGGCAGTAAAAAATGGGGTTCCAGGTGAAAGCAGTATTTTATTTAGTTTTTCTTTGCGAATCGAATGGTGTACTCAAAAAAATTACAGGTGTGACAACTTTAGAAGAAAAACGCGATTTTACTTTCCCGCCTTTAATTTTGAAAAAAGCTTTGGATCGGCCTACGGACAAATGTTTACAGTAGCCGTGCACGCGATGTTGCGGACGTCTCATTAGACTCGCATTTTGTGAGAAATAACCGGATATCTGCTTCAAATTAAGGGTTTCTTTTCTGAAAAATTGATTAAGAAAACAAAAAACACACACCGATAATAAAGAAAACACAAAATATTGCTATCCCCATCGAAACCTGTGTAAAATCATCATTTTTCACCAGAAAAGCTTTTTTGCAATCAAAGTTTGCAAATTATACATGAATAGAAAGCTTTTGTGACGAAAAGAACTTTGGTGACAACAGAAAAAATTGAAGATTGAAAGAAACGAAGAAAAAAGCGAAAATCCGGAAGATAGTGAAGCGTGTTGTCCATAGAGTAACTTTACTGCAAAGCGCCCTTTTTGCGGGAACTCAAACTTTCCTCTCTCCGACTTTGAATTATTTTTTCTACAAAACTAGGAAGTTCGGTAAGTTTTTTAGTTCACCGTTCGATTCGCAAAGAAAATCTCTACAAAGTACTGCTTTGAACTGAAACACCGTTTTTTACTGCCCCTATGCCTTTAATTACATGGTTTTTCTACTGCTTAACTACATGGTTTTGCTAGTTAGGGCAAATGGTGAATAATTCCGACTAGTTTCTCAACCTTTTCTCATGTGTTGCCTCCACAATTTCATGCATCAAAGTTCGATCCGATGTGTACAATTCGCTTCGGATACAGTAAGTCTTTCCCCCAATGTTCATTCGTACATAGCATTCCGAAGATCCTGAAATTCCTTTTTTGAAAATGAAGTTCAAAAAGTTTTCTCAACCAGCTTCATCATTGCCGGTCGGTCGGAAAGCGACTCTTCTCTCCATTTGAGCCGTCCCGTCTTCGGTTCTCTGAAAATAGAGAGATCAAGAAACTCCACAGCACTGGATTATTGAAGGATTACTGTGGCAGCCTTACTTTTGCTGTCATCATTTCATGGTTCTATTTTCACTTCCCAAGTTGCGTCTAAAAGAGTCAGGAACTTGAAATCGGAACTGGCAGGGCTCTTATCTGGAAAATGAACTTCGAGCCTTAGGAAGAGCTCTGATGTTCGATTTCTTGTTCGATTTCAATTAGTTTCGATTTTCTACTATAGTAGGGCTTCCTCATCCTCTCAAAAGGACAGATAGTTTCAGGGAAAGTAGTTTTTCGCTCATTTTCTGTTTAAAATATGAAAAAAAACTGGAGCAGAGAAAAAAATTTTCCTACAGCTAAAATGAAAACTTATATTCAAACTGACGAAATTTATTATATGAAACGTTCCGGATATGTTCGCTCACTTTGTAGAACATTGTAACTTCTAAAATCTTTTACCCTCCATTTCAAGTATTTTCTTTTTTTCATTTTAAAATATCAACAGCATCAAGATTTTTTTCTAAAGTCGTTCAAAATTATTTCAAAACACCAATATTTTAAGCGGGTGACAAGTTATATGAGAATCTCAGAAGGAACGCTAGAAAAAGAAAAAATAATAAAAAAGAAAGACGGATAAGAAAGCTCCGAGTGACGTTATTCGCGAATCTCTTCAAGAAGGTCGCAAATCGAGTTTGGGGCCTCTCAAATCTCGTTTTTTTTTTCTTTGCGTTTCTCATTTTTGACACATATACGGTGCTCCAAAAAAATTTATTGAAGAATAGTTGAGAAAAAATGTCAGAATTTCAGGTTAGATGGGGGATTTTGAAGAAGTCGTACCGATAAATATTTTTATCTTGAAATCTCAATTCTCGAATACTGAGATTTGACTGAACGAAACTGGTGAGCTTTGAAAATCAGATGAGTAAAGAACTATATCAAAACTTAGGAACTTTTTTGAGCAATTCGGGCCCGGCTCAACCAACTACAAGCTCAGAGAAACTTTGAAAAGTCAGAAGAATGGTTAACTGACACGAGGTGCTTGATTCCGTTCGTTGAAGTGACAGAACATGGCTGGCGACTGAACGAAGCGAAGAAATTGGATAAATGGCTGGCGGATTATGCCGTTGCCGCATTTTTCTTCTTCTTCTCCATCTTATCCCACCCTTTCGCACGCAATCACTCGAGGCTCTATTTCCGAGACGTTTCCTATCGGATTAGCTTTCAACGTCTTCTCTTAGATGAACAACTCTTCATTAGGTTTGAAAAAAAGGTTAACTTTCTTTTTTTCAACTTGTTTTTGGTAGATAAAATATTGAAAACTTCACTATAGTTTTTTTCGAAAAAAAGGATCGAAGTTGCTATAAATACTTAAGTTTTATTGATTTCTTTTGCATTTTTAAGAATCCCTAATTGAACAAAATTTGTTCAGTTTTTCCATAAATTGCTAGTATACTTAATTTTTTTATTGATTTCTTTACGAGCTTACTAGCAATTTATGGAAAACTGAACAAATTTGTTCACTTACGGTTAGTGATTCTTAAAATGTTTATTTAGACATTTTCCACTAAAAAATCAAAATGGCGTGTGAAAGTACCCGTAAAAAGTTACTTATTGCGGTATTTCGTTGTAAGACCCATTACTTTAAATGACTTCCGCAATAAGATCTCAACCTATCTCGCGAAGTGCCTTTAAAAAAAACCGCGAAACTACTTTGAACACGGCCTGAAGCCGGTTTCTTGGAAAAAAGCGGTTTCTTTCAAAAATTTCGGGAACTACATTTGAAAAATTGAAAACAAATTTGAGTGGTATATTTATTGTGTGATAAATGACATAGGATCCTGTCCAATTAGGCTATCACTTTTCTGGAAAATTCTCATTCAATCTCCTAAAAGTTCCCTTTTCTTTCAGATGTTACGTCAAGCGGTAAAATAACTAGAAAGAAAAGTTTTTTTATTAGAACTTTCGTGTATGAGTTAAGAAGCTTGAAAGAAATAAATCATACAAAATTATTTTAATCTAGCTTTAGAGGACTTTGCAAAAAGAGCAGCCGAAAAAAGGGAAATTCGTTTTTCCTTGATACCTTCCATTTCACTTCCTTAACAAAAATCTCAGATAGCCTTTGCTTCCATAAAAAAACGTCATTAATTTCGATAATAAGCAGTTTATCTGTCAATTAGTAAGGCAGTGACGTCTTTCGGCAGTTATTAGGTTAAGTTGAGGTTTTCTTGATTAAATAACATTTTACTTCTCGTTCGTTATTTTTTGTTGATGAACCAAAAAATGATGACTAAGAATTTTAAACTAAAAGGTGTCTATAATTTTTAAAAGGTTATTTTTGGAGAAAAAAAATATTATTTGAATGAAATTTAAGTTTAATCACGGTTGAGAAGGTTATTAACTGAAACTCTGCGGAACTAAGGTGAAGGTCAAAACAAATTATTTTCCTCTCTGTTTTTCTTGAAAATAAGTCACTCTGCGCGTAGTTTTCCTCAGTGTAGAAATCGGATGTGATGAACTTCATGAAAGGTTTCCTACTCACAACGAAAAATAGAGCAAAGAAGCAAGAAAAACATGAGAAATGAAAGAAACACGGCTTCTCGGCCTTTTCTCCTTCAGCAAAAGTCAAACAAAGGTGTCGTGACTTCTTGTTGAAAAAAAAAAGATGAGAAAAGGAAGAAATCCACTGTGATGAGAACTGGGGCAGCGTTGAAAATTTGCTCTCAATTTGAAGCCTGTATTTTTTGAAATATTTGATCTACAGATGGGAATAATTCAAATTTTTCGTACTGATATAATCTGAAAGGTGTTAAGGCTATGATGCTTTAAAAATAAGATTTCGAAGTAAAAGATTTTTTGGCTAAAACCGCATTTTATACGATATAATATGATAAAATTCATGAATTTCCTGTTTTTTTCTGAATTATGCAAAATATTTTTTTCCTTGAAATGTGAATTATCTTGACTACGGTAAATTTAAAAAAAGATTAAAAAAAGATTATTTATAAAATGGATTTATCGTGGTGTTAAAATGACGCCTTTCTGAGAAGAAAGTTCGAGGAATCATTTGAGA